ACACTGGATCCATAAGTACAACATTAAATTTGCTATCTTGAAGGTAAGTAATCAAATCTTTGTTGTACAAAAGTTGTTTGCAGTTATTTAAGTAAATCATTGTAATATTCTTTATTCTTGCAAATGTCTCAGTAATTCTTGCCAGGAAAGGCTGATGTACAAAAACCTTATAACCCAATTTCTGAACTTCTGTTTTCAAATATTCCGTTGAATAGGGTACAGCAAATGTTTTCACTGTGTAATGATCAGATGGTTTTATCAACAAATTAGCATCAGGAACCACAGCTATTACTTGATGTCCTCTGTGATGAAGGCGTTCCATAACTGGTTGAATACTGAGCCAGTGACTGCCATCCAAAGGTATTACCAACACCTTTCCTCCATCTGAAAGTTTCAAGAAAAAAAATGTAAGTAAAAACCATGTAGCTTGCTGGCAAATATAATGAAGCATAGAATTCTTCTTTTTAATTACGTTGAATTTTAATCCAAAGTTGAATGAATGTAAATAACCCATTGTTCTTTACATGAACATATCAAACAGAACTGACTGGAGCCTTCCACTTTTCCTTTTCTGTAAATATTCAATTTCTTCTGCAATAAGAAGTGTAATGGAACTTTAAAACCCGGTCAAAGGTTGATTTAGTAAACAAACTAATGCAGCAATACATTTTGAAAAAAAGTTCTGAAGGGGCTGGCAGATGTTATCTAAGAACCATTGTACCATCTTTCAAAAATCCTGGAACACTGGGGAATTTCCTGATGATTGGAAAAGAGCAGATGTGGTTCCCATCTTCAAAAAAAAAAAAAAGAAGAAGGGGGGGAACAGTCCCAGGAAACTACAGACAATGAGCTTTACATCAATACCTGGGAAGATACCGCAAAAGATAATCAAAAAACAGATGTGTGAACTTCTAGAAACAAATAAAATTATAACTAAAAACCAGCATGGGTTTGTTAAAAAGAGATCCTGCCAAACCAATTTTATTTGAATGATCAAATTAGTAGACCAGCAAAATACTATGAGCATAGTATATTTGAACTTCATCAAGGCATTTGACAAAGTAGACTACAGTCTACTTCTTGGTAAGCTAAAAAAAATGTGGGATAGACAGCATCACCACCAGATGAATTTGTAATTGGCTGACAAACCATACTCAACGAGTAGTCCTTAATGTAGCATATCTACATAGAGGGAAATAAGTAGTAGGGTACCACAAGGTTCTGTCTTAAGCCCAATAATCTTCAATATCTTCATAAATGATTTAGATAAGGGAATAGAAGGGGAAGTCATCAAATTTGCAGATGACATTAAGCTGGCAGGACTAGCCAACACCCCAGAAGACATGCTTGGGATCCAAAAATATCTTGACAGAATTGAACAACAGGCCCTATCCAAAAACAATGTAATTTAATGTGGAAAAAAGGTTTTACACATACACAAGAAAAACCAAAGGTACAAGTACAGATTAGGCAAATCTGGCTTAAAAACTGTAATAACTTTGAGAGGGACCTTGGAGTCCTAATGGATGATCACTTAAACGTGAGTCAGCAGTGTATGGCAGCAGCTAAAAAGGTAATATAATCCTTGGTTGTATAAACAGAGAATCAAAATCACATGAAGTATTAGTACTGCTCTATAAAGCCTTGGTAAGGCCATACCTGGAATATTGCATCCAATTTTGGTCACCACATAATGAAAAGAAGGACTAGGGGGACATGATAGCAGTATTCCAGTATTTGCGAGGTTGCCACGAAAAGGAGGGGGTCAATTATTTTTCATAGCACCAGGCAGGACAAGAAACAATGGATGTTTATCTATGGTATGTACAATTATTAACTATGAGGTTAGAAACTAATCAAGAAGAGAAGCAACCTGAAATTAAGGAGACACTTCTTAACAGTGAGAACAATCCACCAATGGAACAGCTTGCCATCAGAAGTTGTGGGTGCTTCATCACTGAAGGTTTTTAGAAGAAACTGCACAGTCACTTGTCTGAAATGATATAGGGTCTCCTGTCTGAGGAGCGGGTTGGACTAGAAAACCTCAAAGACCTTCCAGCTCTATTCTGATTGATTGAAAAAGACAGAATCAGTCTTTTGTGATGCCAAGAGAAAAAAATAACCTTGCAGCATTCATTGACATAATTTTTGCAATCATGAGATAAAATGATTAACTATGAGGTTAGAATTTGTCCAGGGAAGTTTGATGAATAACAGGGACTACTTATTTGTCAAAATCCTTCATTAACCACAAACCATTTGTTTAAGAATTCACAGGTTTCTTATATGCACCTTTCATCAGTCAGGAGACTCTCCATGCTTTACATGGAGCTACCTTTGAAGAAGATCTGGAATCTACAGCTTGTCAACCTTTGTCTGAAATGATACAGAGTCTCCTGCTTGTGCAGAGTGTTGGACTAGAAGATCTCCAAGGTCCCTTCAACTAGTCCAACACTCTGCACAAGCAGGGGACTCTGTATCATTTCAGACAAAGGTTGACAAGTCTGTTCTTAAAAGCCTTCAATGACGGAGCACCCACAATTTCTGAAGGCAACTATTCCACTGGTTTGTTGTTCTCACTGTCAGGAAAGTTCTCCTTAGTTCTAGGTTGTTTCTCTCCTTGATTAGTTTCCATCCATTGTTTGATTCATTTTAATCCATTGCTTCTGGTCTTGCCTTGTGGTGTTTTGGGAACAATAAACCAGTGGAACGACTTGCCTTCAGAAGATGTGGGTGCTCCATCACTGGAGGCTTTTAAGAACAGATTGGACAATCTTCATTGATCCCCTATCCTTTGTGGCAGGCCCTCAAATATTGGAACACTACTATCATGTTGCCCTAATCCTTTTTTCCATTGATCCACTTAGTCACTTTGTCAAAGAATAAAATAAGATTTGTTTGGCACAATCTGTTTTTGACAAACCTGTATTGGCTTCTGATTATATCTTTGTTTGTTTCTAGGTGTTTGAGGATCTCTTTTTTGATTATTTTTTCCAGGATCTTCCCAGATATTGATGTCAGGTAATCTGATCAGAGTGTAGGATAAGCCATTTATTCTCTTAGAAAGAACTGTTGTCAAGATGTCTAGAGTTGCTTTGTGATCTGGTTACAGGAGGAAAGATCAAGCATTACAACAATCAAGAAAATATCAACTTAGGTGAAAGTCAGTTTTCCTTACTGCTCTGAAATTTACTCAAATGTATTTTTTATTCATTTGCTGAAATTTTATTCCACTTCTCATATTACTCTTTCCCACAGCAGCCTATTATCAATTAAAAAATGAGAATGCTGCTGTTCCCAATTTTATAAATTAAAAACAAAAGGGAGGAAATAAAAATAGAACAGATAGATATGTTTTATTTCTTATTAGATTTTTATCCTATCTTTATTACTTATTGTATGACTCAGCAAACAAACCTAATACTCCTTCCTCCTCATATTTTCCCCACAACAACCCTGCAAGTTGGGTTGGCTAAGTGATTGACCCAGTCACCTAGCTGGCTTTCATGCCAAAGGCAGGATTAGAACTCACAGTCTGTTGATTTTTATGTCAGCACAGTACCTTATCCACTAGTGACTAGACCAAACAGATCTTACAGGCATTGTGACCCATAAAGTTAGCATTAAATGTTGTAACATTTCATTATTTTAAATAATTAATTGAGCATATTTGATTGATGAGCAATAATGACACAAATTTGCCATGGCTGGGCCCATCCCGCTTTCCAACATCCCCTCCTCCCGGATCCCATTCCCACCCCGCCAGCCCTTGTGTTAGTGAGGCCGGCATCGGTCATGGCTGGGTCGGGCCAGTGTCTCAGGCGGAGAGCAGGTTGCACGTCTCCCCAAGTGACCAAGGCACGCCCAGTGCCAACAAGGGCTGGAAGAAGCTCCTGCTTCTCCATCCCCTGCTGTTGCCCTTACCTTCTCAGGTTAGGCAAGGGAGGGGAGGGCAAGGGGCGGGGCCAGCCAGTGATGGGACAGGGAGCCACAGCAGAGGGTCCAAAGAGCCATAATTGGCTCTGGAGCCATGGGTTGCCAACACCTGCAGTGAGAAGATCCAACAGAGATGAAAGCCATTAGCCACAATAGGAATTGTCTAACACCTTTTCAGAACACAAACCCCTTCACTGACCCCTAGAGCAGTCCAAACTTTGTCAGGGAGCTCAGATACACAATAAGCCAGAGGTTGACCAGATTAGCTCAGACAAACACCTAGGATTTGCATATCTTCTTTTGCCTAGAGAGCCATCTATGGCCCCTATATGACCCCATAGGAATCTAACAATAGCCAGTAGACTATTAAAGGACATGTTCTTCCACAGGAAAGGAAGCTCAAATAACAAAGTCAAAAGAAGATACAAAAACCCAACCACTCTCCAACTCCATTTTGTCAGCTGCCCAGAATCACATGCGGTCTGCTTCATCAATAAAACTCTCTTTCCAATCAGCATCCTTGTTTCCAGTGTCTTTCTCCCAGCTTAGAACTGAACCAGATGGATTTTCCTTCCAACAATATAAAATACCTCTTTTCCATTTGGATTTCTAAATTTCTAAATTGTAAGCCTAGGCTTACATAAAATAAATGCATAAAATAAAATACATAAAATTACATAAATACAATTTCTAAATTGTAAGCCTAGGCAAAGGTAGTTATTTTATCTGATACAACTTAGTGTCGATTGTCAGCCCGTTTCTTAGTATCTACTTCATATGTACTTAAGATACATTTTCTCACAGCTGAAACTCTATTCCGAAAAAAAAAGAAGCATCAGCGCTCTGCCTGACAAATTCATAACATGAGGGACACGCCTCTGCATTCACGCTTCCAACAGTTAGGTCATATTTTAATTTCGCTCCCACGATTCGGTGCTTACGTCATCGACACCGCTCGTTCGGCCCAATAGGAAGAAAGAAGAGGAGGAGGCGGAGACTACATGCGCGTTGCCATGGTCGCAAAGTCGGGCAGTAACGAAGGTGGAGGCTCAGTGCGCATGTGTGGTGTACGTAGTACCAGGAGTTTGTCTGGGCCTGGTAAAGGCGAATCTTAGCGAAGGCTGCAATGCAGGGCTCCGTGATCCGGCGTACGCAGGAGTTGCTGGGGCGCGTGATTCGAAAACCGCCTCTTACGGAGCGCCTTCTCAGCAAGCCCCCTTTTCGCTACCTGCACGACGTGATCGGGGAGGTCAGGCGAAGCGAAAAAGGCGGGAAAGGGGGAGGCGAGGAAGCGGTCGGTCGTGTTTCCAGTTGCCTGGCAACTCGAGGAGGAAGCCGCAAAAGAGACGCTAAGGAAGGGTTGTGTAAAGAGGTTCCCCAACCAATTAGACAGGCTTAGAGGGGCGGACGGCATATTTTCTCCATCCCGTTTGGGTTATACGTTCTTCAGTCAATCCCTCAAATGGTTGTTGTAGGTAGAGAAACATGCCTTGGATTGGATCTCAGCCCATCACATGAACATAACAAGGATAGGAAAAAAAGTTGCCTCAGTCTTTGTTAATTAAAAACAGTAGTTGCATGTACAAAGCACGGTAAATTTAGTTATCTTCACCTTTGGGCTCTTGTTCGTAAAAGTCATGTTTTAAATAGATTTGAAATTTCAAGAATAGAGCTATGGCTTTATAGATAAGGAAGCTCAATCAGTATTAACATAAGGGATGCTTTGTCTTTCATCTTTCATGTGTTGAATAAGTTTGGCTTGTTTTTGCTAAAGGCATAGGACTACCTAGAAGTAAAGGAGAATTGTGTTCTGTACTATAACTTTATACATAGAATTAAATCCTCACCTCACCTCACCTGATGTGAGGATTTAATTCTATGCATAAAGGTAACTATAATAATGAACATTATGTAACATTTGTATTCTATCATATCAAGTATCCTTTTCTATTGTCAGATTTAGGCATGGGAAAGAAATTATTTAAGCAAGTATGAAATGCAAAATATTATCTGACTTTGCTCAATGAAGAACTTGGGCTAGTGGCTGAGTTAGAAACCTAATCATATACTTGATGGAGCTAATTGCTTAGTTTTTCTTATGAGTACCAAGCCGTTATAGTTTTTAAATAGAACATAACTCGTTTTTATATGATTAATTCAGCCAACTGTGCCTTAACTAATACATTAAAACTACACTAAACCAATACATTCTGATTGATATATGAATGTTGCACTTCTAATATTTTACAGCATCATGAGTATCCTCTGCAAGTCACCTCACTTTTTAATACGATGTTAGAATGGATTAATATATATTTATATATCCTTTATGTAATGGCAAAATATCTTCGGAACATTTATTATGGGAATATTCTTATTTGATTGAAATTACTTATGAGTACTTGTTTAATGCAAGGTGTCATTTAAGATGAAATAAGCCCCAGGAATCAAGAAGGAAAGCAGGTGTCTCTGATTGTCCCATTTCCCTTTGTTAGTATTTCAAGTTATAATCAAACTTTCTTCCTTTGTTGGCAGCAAAAGACCAACATAATTGCTTTTACAGGAAGTCTTCCTTGCAACCATCTTCCCTTTTGACATTTTTCACAAATGAAAGGAGCATACAGATAGTCCTCGATATATGCCCACAACTGGGACCAGAATTTCCAGTTGCCAAGCAACCAATTTTTGATCACATGACCATGTAGATCAGGGGTGTCAAACTCATAGCATGACGTCAAGACTCTCCACCCCTTGGCTAAAATAGGCATGGCCAGCGTGTGACACATCCAACCCATGGGCCATGAGTTTGACATTCCTGGTGTAGATGCTGTGACAGTTGTAAGGGCAAGGACTGGTTGTAACTCACATTTTTCAGTGCCATTGTAACTTCAAATGGTGGCTAAATGAATGATTGTAAGTCAAGGACTATCTTTATTTGTATTTAATCATTTTAGAAGATAAGTTTTATTTTTCTATTTAAATCAGCTAGTGTTTCGCTAGATTGTTTTACAAAGCTGCTCTACAGAGCCTAAATATAATATAAGAATAGTAGAGAAAGTAGTTACCAGGGGTTCCAAATAATAGACCCACAGCAAGCAAAACCCCGAGGCAGGTAGATTCCTCAAATAATAGCTTTATTGGATATATCATATTGGCATAGATCTGGTGACCTGGAAAGGGGTCAGGCTAGTGCTGCTACACACTGCATTGTTGTATGCCACCTCAGCAAATAGCAGTAACTCTGCCCAGTTAGACTGCTGATAGTTGATATAGCACCTTAAGTACTGCTCCACTATGGTGTTTGTATGTTCCATGGCCCCATTGGTACTCAGATGAAAAGCTGAGCTAAGTTCCTGTGAGGACCCAATGGATCTAACAAACTTCCTCCAGAATTTAGTGGTGAATTGGACTCCCCTGTTGGAAATGATCTTGTGGGGAACACTATGCAATATATAAATATGCTTTATAAAGAGCTTGGCCTGCTTCTTTGCTGATGGGAGCCCAGGAGAAGCTGTGAAGTGAGCTTACTCTGAGAATAAATCTGTCACAGTTCAAATGACCATATTCCATCCACTTTTAGGGAGCTCAACAATGAAATCCATGGCAATCTCCCAGGACCTGGGAGGTGGGCCTGCCACCTGCTGAAGTAGGCCTGGAGGTTTTCCTGGCCTTCATTGCTGCACAAGTAGCACAGCTCTTGACATAGTCCTCAATGTCCCTTTTCATCGTTGGCCACCAAAACTGCCTTCTGGCTGAATGCAGGGTTTTTAAGTAGCCAAAGTGTCCTGCCTGCTTGGAATCGTGACTGCCAAAGTACTTGGAGTCGCAGGCTCGTGGGCATGTACATCTCTTAGCTTTTGGGACACTCCACCTCCATTTGTAGCTCCTTGCCATCTAGCTTGCCCTCGGATTGTAGCTTGTGAGGCAGGCTAGGAGGGGGGAATCATGGCATGAACCACTTCCTCACGTTTACTATCGTACTATGGCTTGTGATAGAGTATCTGCCAGGGTTTTTTTCTCCTCCATGGATGTACTTTTGAAATACTGTGCCCAGTAAATCTGCTTTGGAGAAAGCTTCATGGGGTCTTGAGTGCCTCTAGGTTCTTATGGTCAGTTCATACTTCAAACGGAATGTGACTGCTCTCAAGAAAGTGTCTCCCGTTCAGTAGGTCCCATTGGACCACATAGGCTTCCTTCTCCTACACAGCCCATCTCTTTTCAGTGTCCATCAACTTTTTGGAGGTATATGTGCACGGTTGTAAGTAAGTTACCGTTTGGCGTTCTTCTGGAGGAGAACCACTGCAACGACCATGTAGGCTTGGACAACAAAGGGCTGTTCTGGTTCAGGGTACCTGAGGATTGGCTCCTTGGCAAATAGAGCCTTCAGCACCTTGAATGCTTGCTGGCATTGTAAGGTCCAGTTTAGGGGTTGGCTTGGATGTGATTGCTGCCCCCCCCCCCCCCCCAGTTTTTAGTAGCTTGGTGATAAGTAGGGCAATTTCAGTGAAAGAGGGAATGAATTGCCTATAGAAGTTATAGAACCCCAAAATGTTCAGGAGCTGTTTTCGAGTGCGAGGGAGTTGCCAGTCTAAGACAGCTTTAAGTTTAGCTGGATCTATTTCTGCCCCCTTGTTTGACATTCAGTAGCCCAGGCAGTCCAGGCTGGTCTTGTGGAATTTGCATTTTGACAGCTTTGCATATAGCTCAGCTGCGAGGAGTTTTTTCAGCAAATTATTTTTTATACTTTAAAAAGATCTCATTAAATAAAGTTACATTGTGTAGCACTTAACTGAAAAATAATAAGAATTATTTCAGAAAAACAATATCATAATCAAACTTGTCTGTAAAAATCAGCACAATTATTTGTTTCAAGATTCAGATGCTTTTAAGTGTTATGCAACTGTATTTGTATTTTATATTGTCAAGTTGTACAAAAAGTATATGCATTTGAGAGCTAGTACCATAATAACATTAAAATTATTCCTTTAAAGGTAATTAGATCAACTGGTTTCATGAAAGGATTGTATACAGAAGCAGAGATGAAATCTGATAATGTTAAGGTATGTATGCGCTCATTTTTTTTTAATTTATAAAATATTTTATAGATGCAATTCTATTATCATTTAATAAAATGTCAGAATTGTACCAAAATGCTATTTTATAAATTAAAATTTATAAATAAAAAAAAATAGTATGACAATTTACATTGAAAACTGTAGATTTTATATAACACTATATTGTAGATTTTACACTATAACTGTAGATTTTATATAACACTATATTGTTTTATTCAGGATAAAGATGCAAAAATCATCTTTCTTCAGAAAGCAATTGATGTGGTCATCATGGTGACAGGAGAACATTTGGCAGTGAAACCTGCACGTGTTGTTGCAGGATATGAACCTGAAAAAACAAATGAATTTCTCCAAGCAATTGCTAAATGCTGTCTCAATAAGGTAAGATGTTAGTATTAATTTGTGAAATATTATCTTAACTGGATTTTAAATACAATTTCAAAGACCAGCTGAAAGAGAGGTGGTTTCAGGGGAAAGATTGGACTCAGGAAAAAAGTTGAAATGAGTGTTGCAGGAGAAAATTAAGCTTCTCTTTCTTTATCCAGTGTTTTTTCTTTGAAATTCACCATTTGATAGAAGTACACCAGCATGTAAGATAAATTGTCTACAATGCAACATGGAAATAATTCAACCAATAGAATGTGAACTTTATCTGAAGGATCAAGAATATATTATAATAAGACAACCTTTATTGTCATTTTTTTCTGTGAATACTCTGGCACATATTAAAAATTCTGATGCCCATTCTCAAAAGAAAAATTGTGTGTGTGTGTGTATATGTGTGTGTGTGTGTGTGCGTGCCTGCGTATACACATGCCCATATTGATACATGCACATGCACACATATGCATGCACACACATGTTCCCTGAAAATAAGACTGGGTTTTATTTTCTTTTGGGTCCCAAAATATATGCCCAAGATGATTTAAAGAAGTATTGCCAATAAGCCTTCTTTCAGTCATCTACAAGGTTTTCACATAGCAAAAAGAATATTGAGAACATTAAATGATGCACAGCCAAGGAGCAAGCAGGATTCAGAAGTGGCTATAGCACAAGGGATCATCTCCAAGTTACTCAGCAAGTCCTTGAAAGCCATGAGTATAGCATGCCTTTATGCTTGGCTTTCATTGATGATGAAAAGGTGTTTGACTCAGTATTTTAGCAAGCAATAATTAATGCATTGCTCAACAAAGGCAAAGATACTGGTCACATAAACTTACTACAATCAATATATGAAAAAACAATGGCAACAATTTGCCTTAATGATCTTAAAGTGGAAATCAACATAGAACAAGGTGTATGACAAGGCAATACAATATAACCTATCCTTTTCTCATCCTGCCTTGAAGAAGTATTTCACAAACTAGTCTGGGCAAAAGAGGAAATAAAAATGAGTGGCTCATTTAAAAAGTCCATGTTCCCCTTAAAGCATGATGGAGCCTCCTTATAGGCTATAATGTCCTGGATGCCTTGCCACATACACCTGGTGTTCATAGGATCCTAAAAAAAAATTCTGAACTTTCTGACAATGAACTTGCTTTGCTGTTTTAATGGCATATTTCAAATTGGCACTGGCTGTTCCAAGGACCAGCATATCGCCAGACTTAAAAGCCACATTCTGTGCTTTCAACATCTTGTGAATCTCATGTGTCATCCATGGTTTTTTAACCCATACCACAATGTTTTTAAGGACACCGACATCCTCAATGCACTTCTGAATATACAGTATGCAGACACAGTTGTGGCATACTTCTTTACATTAATACATTGGTTAACTGTAGCAGCTTCTTTAAACATGCCTCAATCCGTGCACTCAAAACAATCTTGTAAAGTTTCTATAGACCCTCCACCGAAACTATAACTGCTTCATGGTAGGTTTTTCTCTAAGTAATAGAGGCTTATATGCTGGGATAAGCAACACAGAGAGATGGTCAAAAGAACCAAGGTGAGGATGGGGAATAGCTTTGAATGCATTCTTGATATTAGAATAAGCAAAATCCAATGTATTCCCACCTCTGGTTGCAAGGTTCACATATTGATGGAATTGGGGGAGAGTTGCCATAGGCCAAGAGTTTAACCTAGTGTCAGAACTACCAGTAGAAGAACCAACCATTCCCTCCCTTAAGGAGTGGATACATCAACTACAAAACACCTGGCCAGTGGTAAGAAAAGTTCTAAGTGATGCTAAAGCTGCTTTTAAAGCACTAGGAGATAAAAAGAGGATGGAACCCAAACCGTTTAAAGTAGGGGATAGAGTATTCTTATACTCTAGATTCCTACAATCCTTGCAACCCTCTAGGTTGGGACCAAAGTTCATAGGCTCCTTTCCTATCATTCAAATTCATCAACTTGGTAACATTGAACTACTGCTCCCTAAAACCCTCAGGCAAGTCCATCTAGTATTTCGTTGCAGTCTATTAAAACCCCAAATTAACCCCCTACTAAGACCACCAGCAGACATCTCACCTACACATATAATGATTGAGGGTGAGCAACACTTTGAAATTAAGGAAATCCTGGATTCACGCACACACCATGGCACCACACAATACCTAGTTGCTCAGAAACACCTGCCCCCCTCCCAGAATGAGTGGGTGGCTAAAAAACATGTTAGAGACCCCAACTTACTAAGAAAGTTTCATTTACAGTAGCCCGATAAATCCAAAGGATTCACTGCTCTGTTTTCTCTTGTGCTTATTTTTCAGATGAATTTCTCCTATTCCTAGGGATGTAGCGTGTCAGGTCCCATATATCCCTATCAGGATGCTGCCATTCTTTCCTCCTCTCTTTCTTCCTCTTTCTGTTGTCTCTCTTCTCTCTCTACTATTTCCTCCTGTTTTATTGCTTCCATCTCTTTCCTCTTTTCTCCTTCATATTCTCTGAAGTATTGATCATAAAATAGTTCTTCTTTTTCAGTTGTATCTATTATATGCCTTTGTTCTTGCTAAGTGACCATTATTCCTTCTGGTATCAGCCGTCTGAAATTTATTTCTCTTTTAATCAAACATCTGATCTTTTTCCTGATGTCTATGTATCCTGTATTTTGATTTACCTTCTTGGTAAGGGGGGAGGGCCATCTGTTTTGTCTCAATTCTAAAGCCTCCAGCAAGAGATGTCTGGGAACAGCTTCATAATCACCTTCTCAGCCTGCAATTTTCAAAACAACTTCACACCTATGGATTGGCTTATTCAACATCGGACTGAGGGGAGGGGTTTCTAACTGCTTTATCCTAACTGAATTGCGCAGGAAATCTCAGATCCTGCTTCTTTTGTCTTGCAATCCCTTTCCTTTCAATGAAAGATTCCTTTTGAAATGTTAATTGTTTCAAGAGTTCTGCTTTCTTGAGCAGATTGGAGAGGCAGACCCTGATACCGTTCTTTGCAGCCATATTTCTCTTCCAATTTGTGGTCAGTGATTATTCCAAGATCTTTTCCACAAATGTTATCACAAATGTATGCATTCTACTCCCATCCCCAATCTTATATTGATGTATTTGATTTTATCAAGGAAATGTTTTGTCTGTATGGAATTCTAGCTTGTTTCTCCTGTGGGATTGTTTTTATTTTTTTTCTCCTTGTTCTAGGTATTAACTATCCGCTGAATTTTCTATTATCTACACGCCTGATAAACATTCCCTTCATGGATTTATCAAAAGTATTAAGAAAAACATTAAGTAGAGGATCTAGGATTGATAACTGCAATGCCCTGTTCAAAAAAATTATCCAATGAGAAATTGGATATAATTTTCCAAGCCGTCCATAGGCTGCTAATTAGCTTGCCTCATCGGTACCTTTTCAAATGACTAGCTGAAATCAGGATATATTATGTCTACAGCATTCATACAATCAGCTACACATTTTACCTCATTATAAAGTGATAAGATCATTCCCGCAAAGTGTTTAGATAAAATTTTCTTTATGTACATTTTTTTTGCTTTTTTTGAAGATAGGAGGGAATATTTGCTTTTTAGTCATATGGTGCTTTAACAGTTCAAGATTTTGTATACATTGAGTTGTAACTGCAGTTGGGACTAGAATTGCTGTCACTGAGTGATATGGTTATAAAGCATAATGTCATGTGATCATAGCAGTGGCAGTCCAGGCAGCCCTAGTTGTTGTAATTCCAGACGTGCAGGTTCGAAAGCGAAAGGGTCCCAGGTAAAGAATGTGGAAGTGCCACAGGGAAGTGGGGGAGTTCCTGGGAGACCCAGTGCAGACCACACATGAGTTGGGGAGGAGGTGCTGCAATGTGGGGCAAGCTCAGAAAGGTCAGGAAAATGTGAATGCAGGGAAAGAGTGTGGAGTGTGGGAGCATAGGGATGCTGAGCGAAGATAATGTGGGATACATGTCTGTGCAAGAGAGCAGTGGGAAATTGGGGAAAGAGGATGTGGAATGTGTACTAGTGCAGGGCAGTCAGGGAAGGAGGGCATGTGGTACATGCATATATATGAGCACAGGGAGGCCAGAAAAAGAGTGCAGTTGTGCGTATGTGTGCAGAGAGACTAAGGAAAGAGAGCATAGGGTGTGAATGTGAAAGCAAGGAGATTGGGCAAAGAGACTTGGGGGTGTGCAGGTGCAGGGAGGCCAGAGAACAAGGGTTTGGGGTGCTTGTTTGTGTTCCAGCGTAGGGAGTTCCATGTATTCTATTAGTTTAATATGCATTTCTTTTATGTAGCTTTCCAGTGATGAAGCTGTTCAGAAAGTACTTGCTGAAGAAAAAACTGTTAAAGAAAAGACACCTTCATCTAAATCTCAAAACAGAGAATCTAAAACAGAAGAATGTAGATCTCATAAAGAGGTAATTTGAATAACCTGTTGTATTAAAAAAAAATAAACATATAGGTTTCTATGTAATTAAAAAAAATAAACATATAGGGTTCTATATGTTGAATAAAAAACACCAGAGAAATTGTTTTATTTTCTTTATTTACTGGGTTTCTGTGCTGACCCAATCATAAAAGAAGCTAAGTGATAACTGAGTAAACTCAGGTTAAAACAAATCATGTAAGAAATATAAAGTTGGTCCCTGATTTACAACAATAGTTGAGCCCAGAATTACAACTTTTAAGTTGTGGCTGTCATTAAGCAAAACACTCATGTGATCATCTCATTGAACGACCACAATCCCTGCTCTCCTGATTATTGTTAAGTAGAGCCTAGAATCCCTGGGAGTGAGGGAAGCCCTGGGAGGCCACCCCCAGCTCACATATGGCCTAGCTTGAGCCTTCCAGGGCCTCTGAGGACCCCCATGTTCTGTTTCCTGCACTATTGGATCCCACAACCTCCCCACACATTACCACTCAGTCCACTTACCTTTTCCAAAGATTGCCTTTCAGAAAGAGAAGGAGCCAGTAAACTTCTTGGATTGAGAGAATTGTAGCCACTTCATGGGTCCTCTGTATCGAAAGGCCATAGGGCAGATTTGGGTAGAACAGCCAGAATTTCACAAAAACTCACCTCACTTTTTCACCTGCTTTTGCACCCATGGCATTTGCTCATCTGTTCACATTCCATAACTCCTGCTCATGACACTTACCTGCAGTACCTGTACCTATCTGCACACCTGCCTGCACTCTAATGCCTGCCTATAGTACCCATTTACCCACCTGCGTTCCATAGTGCCTATCTGTGGCTCTCAACTACCTGTCCATATTCCGGACTGCCTGGTTGCAGCACACACCAAGCTGTTCATTTTCTGTAACATCTCCTTATGGTAGCCGCCTTTCCACCGCTCTCACCTGCAGCTTTCCCCCACTGGCCTGCTTATCTGACACTCCCACCTCTTCCCAATTAATAACCCATGCAGTCTTGAAATTACGCTAGCAACCAAGAATACTTAGATTGCTGTGATGAAGCGATACAGTCATGTGATATCACATTTTATAATCACATCACTTATTTATAGAAATTATGGTCAAGAACTGCCTATAGTGAATCCCAAATCTATCCTAATCCATAAAGGGTTTTAAGGGCGACGGCTCACATTTTGAATTGCTCAAATATTTTGTATGTAATTTAATATTTTGTATTTTATTATTTAGGGAAGAAGTGACTCTGAAATAAAAGACAAAAGCACAATTCAGGACCAAAAAGTTAAAGAAGAATTGAAAGGGGAAGAAACCAAGCAAAGAGAAAGTGAAAAACATAAAGATTATGAAAATCATCCCAATAATTTTGATAAAACTGTTAATGAAAATGAAAAACATGAAAAAGAGAGAATCAAGAATAGATTGTCCAAATCAGGAAGAGAACCAGAGAAAATTAGAGACAAAGAAAAAGGAGAAGGGGAAGGAGAAAAAGAAGAATATGATAAAGAAAGAGACAAGGAAAGGAAACAATATGAGGGAGGAAGAGAAAAAGAGAAATTACGAGAAAAAGATAAACCTAAAGACAGGGATAAAGATTGTGAGAAAGTCCGAGACAGGGGTAAAGAAAAAGACAAAAGGCGGGAAAAAGGTAAAGATATAGAAACAGCACGAGAAGAAAGAAAAGACAAAACAGACAAAAAGGTAACGTGTAACTAATTAATGATAATTGAAATTAACATTTTGAGCAAATTGATATAAAGATGCATGTATCTTAGAGTCACTTTAAATGAAATGGGTAATGTAAAAATTCAATAAATAATTACTCAAAAATTTTACATCACTAAGTTATTCAAAATATGAACTGCAGTCAAATGCATACAGATGCATTTCTAAACATTAATTTTAACAAATTCTATGACAATTCTTTTGAAAGACAAAACAGTTGTAGACTAGCTATAATTTCTTGTTAAGCATTTTTTCTTATAAAATACATGATTCGGTCATTCTCTTATGATCAAAAGTTCTAAATACATTGTTTATGTCATGTAAATAATAAATATCATAAAAGTCTTAGAATAACTAGTATTTTACTTTTTAAACATAGCAATATTATGATATCTAGTACATCAAATAAACAATGAAAGTTCTGAATGTACTTAACTCTAAGACTGATGCAATCAAGTTAGCCAGTAGTACTCATTGATTTCCCTGGGAAATTTCTAAATTGTTCCAGATGAAAATAATGGTTTATTTGGTTAGATCTTGTTCTAGTAATGTGATATAATTGAGTATGGTCTTACATTATAGGTAGTTCTCAACTTACAACAGTTCATTTAGTGACCATTCAAAGTGACAACGGCACTGAAAAACCATTTTTCACATTTATGATTGTTACAGCATCTCCATGTTTGTGGGATTTACATTCAGATCCTTGACAACTAACTCATATTTATTATGGTTGCAGTGTCCCAGGGTCATGTGATCCCCTTTTGCAACTTTTTGACAAGCACTAATTTAAGAACTACAGTGGTTCACTTAATAAATATGGTGAGAAAAGTTATAAAGTGGGGCAAAACTCACTTAACAAATTTCTCACTTAGCAACATAAATTTGGGGCTTAATTGTGGTTGTAAGTTGAGGATTGCCTATATTGATTTGTAATAAACATGTGACACCTTTGAAGAAATCCATTCAGATTACTGAATAACCATTTTAGTTGTAATATGAAATATAGTCACTGAGTATCAGTGAAATTTCTATGACCATCAAGAATTTGTTAGGTTAATACATGGACTAACTTATATGAATCTGAAATCCATTGTGTTCATTAATAATGGTGTTTGTTGATTCCGACTTAGAGAGCAGAGTTGCATATATGTGTAGTATTGCTTATTGCTGTGGATTGTAAATAAACATGAATTATATAAAAAAGAAGAAAACTATACAAAGATAATATAGGTAGTCTTTACCTTGTTGTTAATTGAGCAACTGTTCAAAGTTACAGTGGTGCTAAATGAACGGTGGTTATGACTACAGTTCTTGGAATTCTGGCCACCCATACACCCCCTTGGATATCAGACCACAATCTAGGAGCTTGGCTTGCACTTGCAAAACATTTGTAGCATCCCATGATCTGTTGATTCCCACCTGCAACCTTTTCTGCCAGTTTCCCAGGAAAGTCAGTGGCAGGGAAGGTTGCAAGTCACTGAGGCAAGTCTCTCTTTCTCCTGTGCACCTTCTCCTGCCCTTCTGCACTGAAGCTCCATTGGCTACTTCATGTACCCCCACATACCCTCCCTGAGCCTTGCCATGGCTCCCTCATTCACCCCCTCACATCCCTATGTGCCCTTCCTTAACCCTTGCTGTGCCTCGTTATTGTTTGCATTTTATGACTGCATTGCTTAACAGAAGTTCCAGTCCCAACTGCCATCATGAATTGAGGACTACTTGTAAAAGTCTGTTAATGATTCTAAACATTTTATTAAAAATATCTTTCCTTAGCCCACAGGATCTGAAGAGAATATTTCTAAAAAACTAGCAGAGAAGTCTATAAATAAAGATCAAACTGAATTTGATAAAGAAGTAAGTAACAGAAAATACTCATTTTACAGGTTACTGTTACCCTCCACAGACAAGTGAACAATAAGCATGTGTGGCTTATAGTTTGAAACATGTATGTCAAAAAATACTAAAAAGGCAAAGATTGGTTGTGAAGTTACTTTTTCATTGCCAGTATAACTGCAAATACTTGCTAAACTATGCAGTTGCCAAATGAGAAATCCCTGTAACATAAAATTAGAGGTTTATTGCTTTGTATATAGGAACCTGCCTTTTCTATATCTAGTTTATCTCTTGAATACAAATCTGTAAATTGTGGCTTTTGCAAAAGCAAGCAATTAAAGCAACATGCATGAAAGAGAACAAAAGACCTCAGAAGGATTTTGTGAAGCTTTTGAATTTGCAATATTTCTGCATAAATTTGATCTAAAATGCAATCTGTTCTCTACACTTGATAAAAGTGGAAAATGAGAACTCAATTAAATAAATGAAACTAAAACATTATGCTTGTTCATTTATCAATTAAGGAAAACAATCCTCAGTTGGTTAAGCAAAACATATTTCTCATTTTCCTATGCTGGAATTATCATATTGTTTTCTGCCTTCTGAACTTTGCTTGGATTATAATAAATAGAGAGAGCTTTAAGAAATCAACACTTCCCAGTTTGAATTTCCTCCAATTTTATCCAAATTGTAATAAGAGTACCATACTAGAGACTCCGTTCCCCTTATAACTTGCTTGTTTAAAATCTGAGTATGTATGATATTACACATTCAGAAAATGGAAAAAAATAATAAGCTAAAATGCATGAATGCTCCATGTGTGTGTGTGTGTGTGTACACACGCACACACAGACCTAGACAAATATACATACACTACTTGCTTTTATGTACATTTTTAAGAATGAAAATTCTGCAAGATTATCGAAGCAGCATGCAACAAAAGGACCAAGACAGCGAAACAAAACTTCAGCTGAAGGTAATTAAAAGAAACCACCTTGATTTACTACTTCTTGAGAATTTTTAAATGTTCTAAAAGACATAGAGGTATTCTTTACCTCAAGTTGGCTCTTCCTTTTGGAGCCAGTTATGTTTTTGATTCTTCAGAATGAAAAGGCAATTCTGATCCTGACTAGTTCTATTTAGAGGCTGAATAGTTAGAGCTTCTAAGAGACCAACTCATTGGTATTTTATACTCATTTATTTTCTTTTTCTTCCTTTCTATCTCTGTCCTATCTCCTTCTTTTTCTCTGTGGAGTCCTTGGGGCCTTTTCTGATTAGTTTTTTACTGAACAAGATAACATCTTTAGTACTAGAAGGGAGTGGGATTTGCTCTCTGTTTATACGCAATACAGGTAGTCTTTGACTTACAACAGGCCACTCTTAGCAACCATTCAAAGTTACAACAGACTTCCCCAAAGTTGCAACCCAGTTTCAAAATTATGATGGCTGCAGCACCCCTACAGTTATTTGCTCATTTATTTATTTAGTTAGTTAGTTTTTATTTATTTATTTATTTATTTGTAAGATTGCAGGTATAAGTATAGACATAGTTATGAGTACATGAAATGGATACATATAAGAAAAATAAAAAGAAACAATAGGACAGGGACAATAGGCACATTGGTGCGTTTATGCACACCCCCTACAGACCTCTTAGGAAAGGGGTGAGGTCAACAGTAGACAGTCTAAGGTTAAAGTTTTTGGGGAAGAAACCACAGAGTCAGAGTATTCCAGACATTGACCACTCTGTTGCTGAAGTCGTATTTCCTGCAATCAAGTTTGGTGCGGATTACATTGAGTTTGTATCTATTGTGTGCTCTTGTATTGTTATGGTTGAAGCTAAAGTATTCATTGACAGGTAGGACATTGCAATATATAATTTTATGTACTGTACTTAGATTGGACCGAAAGCGGCAAAGTTCTAGGTTTCCTAGGTCTAGAATTTCAAGTCTGGTGACATAAGGTATTCTGCTATGAGTAGAGGAGTGGAGAACTCTTCTTGTGAAATATTTCTGGACTTTCTCAACTGTATTAATATCAGATAAGTAATGTGGGTTCCCAGACTGATGAGCTGTATTCAAGTATTGGTTTAGCAAATGTTTTGAATGCTCTAGTTAGTAGTGTAATATTACCAGAGAAAAAGCTATATGGGATTAGGTTAACAACTCTTAATGCCTTTTTGGCTATGTAGTTACAGTGGGCTCTAGCACTTAGATCATTAGAGATGAGAACTCCAAGGTCCTTGACAGAGTTTGGATCATCAACAAGGTCTTGACTATTCAGCTTGTATTTTATTTTCTGATATTTTTTGCCAATATGTAAGACAGAGCATTTATTTGTTGATATTTGAAGTTGCCATTTGTTTGACCATTCTGATACATAGTTGAGGTCTTTTTGAAGAGTAGCAGTATTGTCAATAGTGTTGAATAGCTTTACATTATCAGCGAAGAGAACGCAGTTGCTCTTAATATGATCACAGAGGTCATTTATGTAGGGTATGAAGAGAGTTGGTTCTAGAACACTGCTTTGAGGCACACCACTGTTGACAGTTACAGAATTTGATAGGACGCTCCCAATTTTGACCATTTGTTGTCTGTTTTGACAGGAATGCTTCTATCCAGTTATACAGGTGTCCAGAGATACCATAAGATTTTAGTTTTAGGAGTAGTTTGTCATGTACTACTGAATCAAAGGCTTTACAGAAGTCTATGTAAATTGCGTCTATTGCTTTGCCCTGATTGAGTTGTGTAATCCATGTGTTTTTGCAGTGTAAGAGTTGCAGATTACAGGATAGTTTTTTTCTGAAACCAAATTGTTTATTAAAGGGTAGGATGTTTGTCTCTAAGTGGAGGAGCGCTTGTGCTTATGGTTAATAATTGATTCTTAAGATGGACTGCAGGATGCTGCAGTGTTCATCCACACCCTGCTGGGTGTCATGCCTGTGTCAGAGTCTGAATCCGAAGAGGAAGCCGGACAGCTGACAGTGAATGGGAGTGTGGCTCCTCTGGCTGTGGAGGAGGCTGGGGAAGGGGAAAGTCTGGCTGGGCAGAGCAGGGGAAGATAGAACAAGAGAGAGGGAGTTCAGAGGAAGAACCAGGCCACCCCCTTTTCATCCTAGGGCACACAGGGAGGAATGGAGAAGGGAGCAACATGGGTTGTGTGGCTTATGGGGGAGGAAAGGGCCCTGATTCCTTTTATTAGCCACAGCTGGAAATACAGTTGATAAGAAAGAAGGTTCTATTCCTGATACTATAGAGCACAGGTGTCAAACTCGCAGCGTCATGTTGCCATCATGTGACGTTTTGTGACATTTTTCCCCTTCACGGAGCTGAGGTGGTCATGGTCTATGTATGATGCATTTGATCCACAGGCCACCAGTTTGACAGCCCTGATATAGAGCCTTTTTTCCTCAAGGACCCTTCATTTTTTTAAGAAGGTTCTGTTTATTTCCACAGTTTATGAAGTTTAAAAAATGGAGGCTCCTTGAAAAATCCTCTCAGTATTAAGATAATAGAACGTGTTGCAAAATAGAAGGAGTTTGCCATGAGACTGGCTCTGTAAGGAACTGATCTTAGAGGGCCAGGTGCCTCAGAAGCTGAAAAAAAGCAAAAGATAAATTGGGCTCTGCAACAGGCTTGAGTCCTGAAAGTCCTTGAGTGGGATCTCTCCTTCCAAGCTGCAGTTTCCAAGCTCTGTTTGTCCTGATCTCTCTTTCTAGGCTGGAGTTTGTAAACTCTGTGTATTGCAATCTACCTTTGATTGCTGGGTTGGAAGGAAGCTGAAGGACTACAGGTAACCCTGTGAAAAATGGAACACAGGGTGCCTCAGGGAGTGGAAATAGTCTTGGGAGGTTGAGACAGGCAACTGTGTGCCTGTGTAGGCCTTGTGAGGGCTTCCCCCTGAGGCACCCTGTGCTCTGTTGAACAACTCTCCCATTCATTTAAAGTTTGCATCAGGGAAGGCAAGGAATGGGGTTGTTAATTGAGGGTCATTTCACCTAATGACTGTCATGACATGTGATCAGAATGGGCAGAATCCATTACAGTCATCTCAAGGACTACCAGTAATTTCCTCTGACAGACTTGATAGGTGTATTGTTTTCTCCCAGGTAGTTCCTTGATTGTCTAAGTTGTTAATTCCTTGATTGGGGTATAGCATATTGCTTGATTGTTTATCTGATACCGTGTTTCTCATATAATAAGGCTAGGTCTTTTTTTTTTTTTTGAGCCCTGAAAAAATGGCTAGGCCGTCTTTTCGGGAGTGACTTAATTCTCCCCCCCTTGCATGTTCAGGTGGGCAGCGACGGCTTGGATGTTGACCTCGGCATTGGTGGGGCACTTCGTATCAGGGTCAACACAGGCAGCACCATATCCGGGTGTGCAACAAAAGTACTTCCTAACGGCAAGCGCCCCCACCATTCCCCCCCATTTCGCATGTTTTAATATAGGCCTTAATTTGGGGGGAGGGGCTTAATTTCATTTCATGCCTATAAAACATGCTGGGACTTCCTATTGGGGGAGGCCGTATTGTTGGAGAAACAGGGTATTAATCCTGGTGTTAAACTCTGTTAGTGGCTGGTTTGCCCGAGTGCCAGGCTTCCAGGAATTCTCTAGCATTTTTTGGATTTAGCTTTGTCTATGGATACTAACAGTTTTCCAGTCGAAATGATGATTAACTATCCATGTGCTGTGAAATTAAGGAATTTTCATCATGTCTTCTGCTTGCTAATTGATGTTCATGGATTCACTTTATTAATCTTCTCCTTATCAGCCCTATATAGTGGCTGTTACAGTCTTTACAGGTAGTCCTCAATATATGATCCTAGTAGAGCCTGCCCATTATGGTCATATTCTTGATGGTCATAAATCACATGACTGATCTGATTTACTATAATTTGAGACTCATATAACACACATTCAAAGAATTGAGCAGGATTCATAATATAGAAAAAACGTAGATAAAGTTCTACAAAAATATAAAAAACTTACATGCAAACAATACCCTTTCAGCTCTTGCAACATGTAGAGAGAAGGCACAACTCACAAACCCAACGAACTCTGAATACAGACAGCATAGCTAAGTCACGCCCAGACTAAAGCCAGCTCACATGGCTCTCACAATAAATCCTGTGTCTCAGTCAAAAACATTTCCACTGGCTGACTTGTTGCCATGGCTATTCCAGTTCATAAATTCTCATACACTGACACTCCTCCCTTTATGACTGGAATAGACATAAAACCAAATAATTTTATATTCTTCCCATGGTGCACTCCATCCAGTGGCTTGGTCATCATATCTGCCAGATTGTCCTCTGAAGAACAGTGAAGCAAGCTAATTAATTTACAATTGATGGCTTCTCTTACATTACAATATTTAATTATACATGCTTGCATCTATTTTTTACTCTGTCACCTGTTGCCATTTTAATGCAAGCAGCATTATCTTCAAACACTGTGACAGCTTCATTTACCTTTATGTTTAAATCCTTTAACAGCTGTACGTACCAAATTACCTCTGAACAAAGTTCAGATAGAGCAATAAATTCTGCCTCCGCAGTAGAAATGGCTACAGTTGTTTGTTTTCTGGGCTTTCAACCAATTAAAGCCCCTCCAAATAATACCACAATCCCAGAATTGGACTTTCTGGTTTTTACATCATTGGCATAATCACTGTCAACATAACATTTCAACTTTAATTCTTCAAAGACCTATATTTGAAGACCAAATTCACAGTTCCCTTCAAATACTTGAGAATCCTTTTTACACCCATTCAGTGCAATTGTGTGGTGCAGCAGTAAAGCAACTGCACAAGCTATGTCTGTTCTGGACCATTGTGACAGATATAACAAGCTCCCTATTGCTGACTGATATATCTCCTAATCACAGGCTTCACTTTTGTCCTTACCCAAATTGTTATGAAAATCTGTATTGGAGCAGAATTACAATCCTTCATGTTATATCTCTCTATCAGCTGTTCAATTTTCTTTCTTTGACTGAGAACATAACTACGTTTCTCAGTTTTTTGTATCTCTACATCAAGATAATTTTGTATTTCACCCAAATTTTTAAATTCAAACTGATTAGCATATTCCTTTACTTGTGACACATCTTTTGCAATTAAACAAAGATCATCCAGAAATGACAATAATTGACAATCCCCACCGTGTAACCTTGCAGTATATATGTAACCATCAGCCTTGCAACTCTTGAACACAAGACCCTTCAATGCTTTATCTAAATAAATATTCCAATTCCTGACCAACTGCTTCAACCCATAAATGGCCTTGTTCAATTTATAAACAGTGTTAGGCTTTTTACTTTCATACCGTAGGCACAAATACCTCATCATAGTGCATGTTTTTCCTCTGAAAAAACCTTGTGCCACTAATCTTGCCTTATTTTGTTTCTTTCTTTGTTTTTTCTTCCCCATGTAAGTTATGACTAATCCCCAGGTACATACTTTAGCTGTATCCCATACAGTTTGCAAGGAATTCTCTTCTTTCCTGTTCTCTTTTTTTTAAAAAGTCCAGTTCTTTTTCTATATTTTGTATAAATTCCTTATCTAGCCATATTGCTTGGTTCAATGTCCATCTCAATTTTCTTTTTTTGTCCTTTCCATACAACTTTTACTGGATTATGATCTGCTCAGACATTGAGTTCTGTTTCTATCTGTTGTACATATGTTTTCAATTCTGATGACATCCATACCATATCTTCCCAGTAGAATTGCTGTTTTATCATTGTATCCAATCTATGGCTTTTTTCCATCCAGGTCACCAATATTCCCTGGGTATCAGCCATTTGAAGTTTACTTCATGCTTAATTAATTGTCTTGTCAAGAATTTATACTGTTTCCTTGTGTCTCTTACTCTTCTGGGTATCTGTTTCAAGACTACTATTTCTCTCCCTTTGTATTTCAATGAGTCATCTCTTGCTCTTTGGAGTAGTTCCACTCTTTTTACCTTCTTTGAGAATCTCAAATGCACCTCTCTGAGGAATTTGTTCCTTTTCGCGTAGCTTGTGTGTATTCTAAATATTTTGTCTATTCCAGCAAGGATTTCCTGCTTGTTCACCTCCAGGGCATCTGTCAGCAGTTCTGCCATTTTTTCAGCAAGACCTTCCCCTTTTTCCTCCTCAATGTTTTTAAATCTCAAAAAATATTCTGCTCTATCCATCTCCAGCATAATTATGGATTGCTCAAGGTCATTATCTACCTTAGTCAATCTGTAGTCCATTTCTTCCACTTTCTTATCTGTTTGTTTTGTTTAGTTTTCTACTTTCTGAATCCATTGCTCATTTTTAGTAACTATCTGATGGATGTTATCCATTGTATCCCCCATCTTTTGCTCCATCTTTTCCATTCTTTCTGTCATGTCGTCATGATTCCTACTTACAACTTCTTGTAATAGTTGAAACATTGATTTCATTTCCATCTGGAAAGGTCTTCAGTTTTTCATGCTGCAGCATACTTTCTAATGAGCGTTGACTCGCTGGCTGCTGTTGCTGCTACTGATGGTGCAAATGCGTTTTCTCTCTCTATTTTTCTTAAATTTGTATTGCTTGTCATTTCAATTAATTTAAATAATAGGATATTTTAAGTAATAAATGTTTAACAGAAACAATCAACAATCAATAATAAATAAAAGTAATACTTCACAATACCCAATTCAAAGAATACACCCTAAAACAATCCACCACAAAGTTTTCTTTCTTGTCTCCAATTCTTGTTTTCAGTCTTCAGGTCACTTCACGCTTTTAACTATTATGATTCACAAAGCCAAGATATCCATAGTCCAGACTTCTTTTCAAAAAGGTTCTCTTCTTGATAACTTTGTAATCCACAATGGCCCACCAAACCCCAAAATTGTGTCAAACAGATTTGCAAGTCACCAAATAGGAGAGCTAAAAGAAAAAGTATTCCACTTGCTTTATAAAAAAATCCTGCTGTTTTCCAGCTTCAGTTTACTCAATTTATTTAAAATCCGTATACATTCAGAGAGCTACAATGTTTAAGAGTCACAATGTTTCCACTCCCTTTCTCTGCAATTCTCTATAAACAATTTCCAGGTGCAGACAGTTTATCTGAGTCTTGTAGCAATGTTCTTTCAACAAACTGCTCAAAGTGAGCCATTAATTTCACTTTTTTTCCCCCTTTACTTTCACTCTAGGAGTTTTTTCCAGCCAGTAGATGTCACTGTTGCTCTATTTTGCTCCTATTCCTCTCCTTTAACTTAACTTAACTTAAGCCAAAACATTTTCTTTTTCAGGTTCCAGGATCCAAATTTTGCATTCAAAAAAGTTTTTAGTTCAGTAAAATCCAATTAATATTGTCATTAAGATAGCCAGTCCAATTTTCCTCTTTTAAACTTATTTCTTTCAAATAGTTCACTTTTCTTGTCCAGATCTATATTCAGCTCCTGTGCTTATTCACCGCTTTCTTAGAGGGTGGAAGATAAACAAATCCATCCCCTTCTTTTGTAGTCCCATTGTCACCCAGGCCAATTATTAAGAGGGCAACTTCCTTAACAGAAATTGGAAAATTCTCACCCAGTTCACCCAATTGAGGAACAGTGTTCCTCAAACTTTATTCATTCTTCTCCGGTCGGGCTGTCTTAGCCTTGGTCAGGCACGCAATGGCTGTCTTTTCCTTCCTGCCAGATTGAGAGCTTCCTCCGTATCAAACAAGGAGTTTTCAGTCTCCTTGTGATCTACGGAGTGTCCTCCAGGGTGGCTTAGGTCCCAGAAGACCCTTTAGCAGGAGGAATTCAGCAAACTTCCATAGAGCCCTATGGAAGTGCACTCTAACACCGTGACAGTCAGCTCTGCCTCTCAACATACCTTTTTATAATACTGCAATATCTTGAGTGGAAATTGCTTTTAAAATGAAACATACCACTGAACTCTGTTCTAAATCTGAATCTACTACGTAATTTTCCATTGGATTTTTAAAACTGCTTTCAACACTTTTCAACCTAAGTGATTTGCTGTCTGGATAGTTTAAAAGCTATGCTATTTCCCCATGATCAAGATATATGGCATCTTAGAATTGGTGGGAAGGTCTGTTCATGTACACTTGAATCCTTTGTCCTCAGTTTTGTGTACAACAAACAAGTTATTTGACCTAATTAGTCTGAAAAATAATATGTTTGTTTTGCAGGTGAATCATTCGGTGATGCAGGTAATAAGCCTTTATGATATTTTAATTTGTATTGAGAAATTTATATATGTTTTATTGTAATTCAAATTAAAAAACTTTTTGTCTACAAGTAATCTATAATAGACATTACACAATGGACTTGATTTCTATACAATATTTAATTTAATAAATCTATTTCAGTAAGACAAAGAACAAATATTTGAGGCATTTCCTCAAAATGACATAATAAAATTATTTTTATTCCACAGAGGGAGATGTTCTGAATACTGGTACAACAGAAAAGATGTCTGAAAATAATGAATTCACAAATGAAATTCCACCTCAGATCACTCAAAGGTCTGACTATATATCCTTTCTTTCATTAATAACATTAATAACTCATTATTCATGCTAATAATCAAGATATATTACAAAGTCCAAACATTCTTATTAAACTAATATTTAAAACTTCAATATTGCTTAAACATGCTTAATTATCACAATCAAGTGCAAAGCATTTGAACATTTGGAAATGTCCAGCCACCTTAAGGCATTTTTAAGATCTGGTGACTACCAGCCTTGGTGCTAGGATATATTGGTTCTGGCCCCATCCAGCCTAACATCATCTTTCTCTATCAGGGACAGTGTGCAGATAATAAATTCATGCTGAAAATGTGCATATAATTAAGTACCTTGTTCATATTTTGTGATGATATTTGAACTTTGGCTGCTCTGATGGCTAGCTCTCAACCATGCTCATTCACATTTATCTCTATTACCTGTGTGTCCCAGCACAGGAGGTACTGGTAACTGCAGTGGCAGATATTCTGGGATCCTGTCTCTTATCCTGTCATGGAACAGAAATGTAAAACATATTTTCTACCTGCTTAGATGATTTATGTGCTTGTATTGAGACTGCTACTTACTTTTGAAGGTGATGCACAATAGTGCCCAAAACCAGCACTGTGCACTGTTGGGGTAATTCCCTGTTAGGAGAATGAGCGCATACAGGGAGACATATAGAGAGTAGTGTTTGAATAATACACACACAGCACACAGATACATTGTACAGTAAATGTAGGGTTTTACTGTCAATAAAGGTTTAAGCAAAGTTCAAAATAGGCAGTCCAAAGTCATTCACAGGTAAATCAGTCAGTTTTTCAATCCAGGGATAATCCAAATATCAAAGTCCAGTGTCAAAAAACAGTTAGTATCAGACTTACATCAGATCCATGAATATCAGTCAATTAGGAAAAATGGAGGAAGGGCAATACTTTCCAACAGAAGGAAACAGATACACTCACACTCTCTTCTGAGACTAAGACAAACCAGGTTTCTGGCTCCATCTTATGGCCGTTTGAAAAACCACACCTAATTACAGTTTTGCATTTTCTTAAAGATACAGTTTTAAAATGTTTATCCTGGTTTATATATTTCCATCCCAAATACCTGTTAGGTGACTTATATTCCTAACATGCACCATGATAATTGCCCAAAGCTGTCACCTATCCAATTATCTAATGCCATTGGACCACCTTGCTTGCTTTATGCTGTAAAGGTAGTTGCTGCCTTGCTTACTGTTGTTCAAATTGCTGCTTTTTATCCAATAGGAGCAGGGTTATGACTGATCACTGGTGTTCTACTGGTTAGCTTGAGATTATTTTAAAAAAAACCTAAAGTTCAGTTCTCAAAGCATTAATGTTTTGATCAAGCATAAGATCAAACATTTTTCAAGAATTTTGTTTTCAGAACACTCTTACGTTCTGTTGAGTTTTGAACTCAAAACCTGTTGATAATGGAATACTTTTGATTCTTATGATTACTTACAAGGTGATCACTAATGTATAAGCTATTTTAGGAAACCAATATTATATCTGAGTTAAATTCTTAAATTTTATTTATTTCAAATTTTTCATTGTTTATTATTTATTTGTTCCAATTGTTCGATGGCATGGTGTCTCATAATTATATCTGAATTATCTGATTATACCAAATATTAGTAAGAATATTAACTGCGTACATGTTTATATATTACTCATACAGGATAGAAAAGTAATTCTTATTTACACTCTGGATGCTCTGTTACTTGAAAAAAATAGTTTCCCCAAATAACAGTACCTCTTGGAAAGAATACCTATATTCACAGAGACAGAAATGTAAATTTTCTGTTTATAACAGTAGAGAAAGATTTTTCCTATGTTCAACTGGATCAGCATTTGGCAGTATCTACATATTTGCCAATACTTTTTTTATTATTTTGAGATCCTTGGGAGTTTTCAATAAGATTTTGAAGGAATTAAATATTTGCAACCTGCTTCGTTTAAATGAAATCATTTTGTCATTTGAATTCAGCCATTTTGTTTCTAAATGCAGTCGAACATTATCACCTGAGTTTTGAGAGAAGGGATATAAAATGGGATTAGAAGACTATAAAATAGTTTCAGTTTGTGATGACTTCTAATTCCTCCCTCCTGTTTTTAAGAACAACCAAACTGAAATTTAGCCATTTGACATTGCACTCTCAGGAGTCTAGGGAGCCACAGTTTGGATGCCACTGGCCTTGGCTGTTCTACCTCTGCTGTAACTGTCAGATCTTTGTTGTCCATAAACCAGGTCTATAAAGAGTTGTATACCTGTTTAGATCAAGAGTAACACATGAAAACACCTGTATTGCTAGAATTTATTTTTAGAATTTAAGATTGTATTTTATGGTTTGTGATTCAAAATCTAAACTTGTTTGGATATATTATAATTGAAGGATATAATTCAGATACATTAAAACATGCTTAATTCTCAAAGATGCATTTATATCTAAAATTAAAGATATATGCTAAGGATGTTTGAAATTAATTTGTAATTATATAGTAATAATAGCAATAATAGTAGATAGTAATTGCTTACTATTGAAACAATTTCTTCCCTACATTAACAGAAGGCTACCACGACCCAGCAGTGCACGACCAGCTCCACCCCGTATAAAACGACAACAGAGTACAGAGATTTTAATTCCAGAAAGGTAGGAACAAATTATGAATAATGAAAAAATCTTAATATTACTGATACACTTAACTATTCTATGAGAGCCAGTTTGGTGTAGCAATTAAGGCAGGGGTGTCAACCTCTATTCATTGAGGGCTACATCAGGGCTTCGTTTGATCTCGGGAGGGCAGGTGGGTATGGATGGGGTGGGCATGGCCAGCTCAGCATCATTTGTGTTGAGGGTGCCTGTGGTGGCCCCGGCAGATCCATTGTCTCCAGAAGGCGAGACCAGGGAGAAGCCAAACCCTTGTCCTCCAGAGGAGCCTCACCGTCCCTATCAGGCCATGCGGACGGCTCTGGACAGTGGCCCGGGCAGTAGAGCCTTAGGCAGTGGAGGGCAAGGCAGAGCCCTAAGCAGTGGAGGACAAGCGCCCAGCTCAGTCCTTGAGCTTCCAGGGCACCAGGACCTGGTAGGCCAGGCCAGCCCAGTCCCACTTCCCCAAGGGGGTGCCCAGCTGTGTTTGCCTCTTCCTTGAGGTTGCTGCTGCTGTCCTCACACTCCTTGGCCAGGTTGCTCATGGTGTGTGGGAGGGCAAAGTGTGTGGCTCCTCCATGTGAGACCCAGCTGTATAACCAAAGCATCCTCAGCAATAGGATGGGAGACCACCAGGAGAGGTCAGAAGAAGAAAAGGGAATGGCAAAATGGCAGCAGGGCTGCTGGTGGCCAAATGCTAAGGCAGGACTTCCCTCAGACCCACCCTCCCTCTCATTATAATCTTCCTTCCTTCCCCTCTTTTCTTCGTTTTCCTTCCTTGCTCTCTTCCCATATTTCCTTCTTTTTCTTTGTCTTTCTTCTTTCTCTTTCTCCTTTGCTGTCCCTTCTTGGATGCTCAAATGCAAAAGGAGAAACATTTCTCAATGACAACTTGCCTTGTGATCAAATGCCACTTTTGCTAGTAGTTTGTTTTGCTAGCACTCTACCAGCTCTGTTTTCAGCTGCAATGGCCTCATACAGGGCCCAGCAGACATTATACTATCTGAGACTTCTCAAAAAAAAAACACTGAATGAAAAACTGCTGGTGATCTTCTACCGCTGCACTGTTGAGAGTATCTTAACTTACTGCACCTCTGTATGGTTTGCCAGTTGCACAATGGCAGATAGGACAGCACTCCAGGCAGTTAACGTCATTGCCCAGAAGATCATTGGTTGCCCTCTCCCCTCTGGAAGAGCTTTATAGCTCCCGCTGCCTTAAGAAAGTTCAAAACATTCTCAAAAATCCATCTCATCCTGGGAACCCTTTTTTTAAACTATTACCATCTGGATAATAAAAACAAGGAGAAATAGGCTGAAAAACAGTTTCTATCCCAGGACAGTAACTCTATTGAACTGTATAGTGCAATATTAATGCAATATCAGGGGTTTTCAATTCAATGTATGAAAGTGAAGGATGTGTGTTTGTGTTTATTTTCATAGTCATAATGTACACTGAAGATGGTATTTAATTCCATTGTATGAGGTTGTCAGAGTTCCAGCAAACCTCCACTCCAACCAATAACTCCAAGACAGACATTACTCAAAAGCTCTCTTTTATTTGGATAGTAACTGGCACAACTGGGGGAATCCGGAATCTGAAAATTCTGGGCTTCCTTCCAACAATCAAAATTATAAAACCAACCCCCTACACCTATCATCACATCACATGCCCCAATCATCATCCGTCCCAAATGAAGACTTCCCGTCATATATGCACACAATAGCATGACCTTGAACTACAAAAAGAATGTTAGTTTGTCTAACTACATATACCCCAAGAACTTCTACCCTCCCACTTTCCCAGGCTCAAAATGTGGCAGCATGGGAGCATCTGGTTTCAACATGGCTTCCAAAGCTGACAGAGGTGCAATGACAATAAAAATATACTACAGCACTTTGCCAACAAAAATGGAGCTCAGGAGGGCTGTGCTAAGCTCTGTTTTTGGCTGCGATGGCCTACAGCACTCTGCCAGCTGCCACCAGGTTGTAGATCAGCGCCTAGTCAGCCTGAGTTGGACCGAGGCACCACGGGGCGCTATTTCCAGGATGGTCCCGTGGGCCAGATCTAAGCACCCCGTGGGCTGAATCTGACCCGCAGGCCTTGAGTTTGACACCCCTGGATTAAGGCATCAGGCCAAGGTCTGGGTTATTTTGAATTCTAGTCCCTCCTTAGGGCACAAAGTCATCTGGGTGATCTTGGACCAGTCATTTTCTCTCAGCCCTAGGAAGGAGACAATGGCAATCCGTTTCTGAACAACTTTACTAACAAAACTGCAGGGACTTGCCAGGAAGTCTCTGAGAATTGGACATGATTGAACGGATGAGAAAAAATATTCTATAATATATCTAATTAGAAAACACAATCCAGTTTGCATTATCAGTTGTGATCACTAGTCAATAATTTAATAAAAAGACTGTCCATTTCACCATTTTTCCTGATTGTTTGAAATTTTTAATACATGCTATTGCAGGCAAACTCAATAAAATATATGTTGTAGTTTGCCATTCTGTTCTTTGATTATTTGGTACAATTATATTATCCAAATAAGAGTAATAACTATAGATTCAGTGATTCAAACCTATTCTATGGCATGCATAAATGAGATGTCGTTCACATTGAATTTTGGGGGTGTGGTGGTCTGGCACTTGAAATGAGACGCAGGGAACCGTCTGAGCAAATGCCAGCCCCGAGAGAACTCGGGTAGCAGTATTTATTTAAGAAAATGCCAGTACAGAATCAAAACAATGACCTCAACCTCAGCAGCATTACCTCAACAGGGCCTCAGCAGGGCTGCGGAAAGTCCCATGAGAATATCTAAACACAGAAAGTCTCACGGGAATGGCTCGGCTGGGTACTGTGAACTTTCACCGATATACCTGGTCTCTCTAAGCTTTGCAGACCCAAACAGGACAAACCACCCATAGCAAAGGAAATGCTGCCCTCACTAGGGGCATTTTTAAATCCCTAGATCTATGCATTAGCTGTACGAAAGACTTACAGAATATGATGAATATGATGAATTACCACATTCCCTCCTTTTTTATTTATTCAAAGATAGGGGGTGTTTTAATGGCATAATACACAGTTCCCTCGCAACTTGGTCTCGTACGTTGAAAAGCTGAGGTACACATTTGAAATAGATTAGGAATACATTGAATACAGCAACATAACATAATAAGTATAATAACAATTATTACAACTAATTGAAGCAATAAACCTAACCATGAGCTGTCAGGAAGCCAATCCCATAGCAAAGCCCAAAGTGACTTATTGAAGCCATCTTTTCCTGCTTCGTGTTCAGCTATGCGGTCTTCCATATCATGAACAGTTCTTGTAATGTTAGGCTCATAATTATGTATAAAAACACAACAATGTGAATGAATTAAAGCACAAACTCCTCCTTTAGCAGCTAACATTATGTCTAAAGCATAACGATTTTGTAAAGTAACTTGGCGAATTTCAGACACTTCTTCATTTAACATCTTAATATTCTTAACAGTATTATATGAATATCTTCATAGTTCATAGCTATTCCCAAAGGTGGGATTGCTGCCCTAGAAATCTGAGTCCACAAATTACCACCCACAGTCAGGCCAGAATCAACTTCTCGATTTCGAATACGCATCCCAATTGGTAAACTCTCTAATTTATAGATGACAGAAATTACAAATCCTATAGTACACACTCCAGACCAATCCTTTGGCCATTGTTGATAGGCAGTGTCCCCACATAGCAACCATAACCCATCCGGAAGAGGAAAGTATTTTAAATGCTTATGATAGGTATTGTCAGAGGCTTGACTTTCCCAACTCCACATTAGCCACATCCAAGTACAGAGAACATATGCTCCATGACCAATGTCAGGCCTCTTAGTGACTGTTTGATTTATACAACAGTCATAGGGACCTTTCTACCAGTAATGCTTTTTACACATTTCATACATCCTCCTTCCAAAGGAATCACCTTCTTGCAGAGTGTAGTATTTCCCAGCAAAATAGATTGAGTCCCTACAGGGGGGCGGTAATAACAAACCGATGCTTTGGTAGTGAAAGTTACCTTTGTTGTGAACAATGTTTGATTCCACTCTTCAGGGTCCGGACCCCAGTGAAGCCAATGATTAAAATCATTATAATCTAAATTAGCACTGGTTTGCTCACTCAAAGGAACACCATGTAACAAAACTCCACCTTTCCCAGACCCAGGTACATGCATACAAAGCCAACAATTAGTTACATTTAAACTCTTTGCTGCAATCCGAACGTCCTTGATGTAGGAATTTTCCTTCCATAAATTATCTCCAAGGTCTCTAGTTTCTGAGATAATAGCAGCTCTCCGCCTCCGTATTAGAGTCCGTGGAGGCATAAGACGAATGGAAAGAGAGGTTGTGTAAAGTAACTTAGGCAACTCCAATTGACACCAATATTGTCCATAGTCTGAAACAGAAACATTAAACAGAATCAGAGTTGTTGCACAGGCTGAAGATATAATGTCCTTATCAGGTCCCGAATAAAGAATGTCTTGATCCTTATGCCAGGACCAATATGCTGGAAAAATCAAAGGATGCCGCTGTTTGCAGATTAATTTAGTCCGATTCCCCAAAGGAACCTGCTGCATACAAGTTGGCAATCTCAGATAAGCAGTCATCTTTTCCCAGCCTTCACAGCACCGTGCCTGGATTGCCGGCATCAAGAGAATCAGGAACCACAGGTACGGAATCAGGAACCACAGGAACGCCATCCTGCTCCTCCGAAACCTCCTTCACTGGCACCTGCGAAGGCGCCTGCGAATGATCAGGCCGAACACATCGACCAGGAACCCAACGAATTTGACCAAGATGTTCTACTGCTGCATAACCACGTCCCCACGTAATCAGCTCAGCGGGAACCCATGCCGGATCCGGAAGGAACCGCACCAACACTCGAGGCCTCACTGCATCTGTAGAAGGAGAAGAAAAATGCCTGCTGGCCGCACTCGCAGGGGGGTTACCAGACAAATTTAAAAAATTTAAAGTATACAAAGCAAGATTTAAATGATCTTGAATTGCCGGAAGCCCCAGGAGCTTCCCTCCTTTTTTATTTAATTTAGCTAACATGTTCTTGAGCGTGCCATTATAACGCTCCACAATAGCTTGTCCTGTGGAATTGTATGGAATCCCAAATTTATGTTCCACGGACCACTGTTTGCAAAACTGATCAAAAACTGTGCTCCGATAAGCCGCACCATTGTCTGTTTTTAAAGTTTGAGGCGTACCAGCAACTGAAAATGTCTTAATGCAATGATTGATGACATGTTTAACCGCTTCACCTCTTTGAGGAGTAGCCATTAGAAATCCTGAGTAAGTATCCACAGTCACATGTATATACTTCCAGGGTGCAAATGATGGATACTGAGTAACATCCATTTGCCAAATCATTGAGGGTTTCAACCCCCTGGGGTTGACTCCCATAAGAATAGCCGTGCCTTGCTTTGAACAAGTTGGACATTGTTGAATTATGGCAGCAGCTTCTGCAGCAGTAAGCTTGAATTGATGTGCCAACGCTTTAGCATTTTGATGAAAATAACTATGGCTGTCCCATGGCTGGACAGTGAGAACTGAGGTTACAGCACTGTCAGCTTTGGCATTGCCTTGTGATAAAATTCCAGGCAAATTACTATGGCTACGAATATGGGCAACAAAACACACATTCACACGCTGCTCCAAACATCCTTGCAACAACAAAAGCAAACGTAGAATATTGGGTGATATTCCAGGAGACAAATAAGAACCTGCTACAAAGGGTAACAAATTATATACATACAAAGAATCCACTATTAGATTAAAATCCTGATTTTGAAAATTTTGAAAAGCCAAAACTACAGCAGCAAGTTCTGCCTGCTGGGCAGACTTCTGCTCTGATGTCACTTTTGTATGCCAAATTCCAGATTTATCTTTCCAAACACAAGCACCAAAAATTTTTTTTTCCTCCATCAGTAAAGACTGTAGGAGCATCTGATATACTGATTTAGGTCACACCCTGTCCCATTGATCTCTCATTTTGCTGACTTTGACCCCCTCCAGGACCCCGACATTGTGCTTTAAAATGTCCAGGCTTCCCACAATTGAAACAAGTGCCTTTATTAGCATTTCCTGCCTGCAGAGCCAGAGCTAAAGTCTCCATGTTAAAAGTCTGACTCCCTACCTTTCTACATGCGTTTATCAAATCAGCGATCTCTCGCTCTCCACTCGCGATAAGTGGATTCAGGATCTTTCTGCAATCTGCGTTAGCCTGTTCTACTGCTAACTTCAAAAGCAATTCGTTCCGGGCAAATTGATTGTCAATTTGCCTTTCAATAGCCACTTTCAATCTGCTAATGAAATTTTCATAGGGTTCATTGTTCCCTTGTTTGATGTTAGTAAAGGTCTTCTCACCACCTTCGCCGTCAGGGAGAGCCCGTATGGCTTGGAAAATTAACTGTGGGAGAAGAACGAACCCCTCCTCAGGCATTCCATCTCTCTGTAGTTCTACTGTTGTAAAATTACCAGCTCCATAAAGCTGATCTGCGGTAACATTTGCTGTTCCCCTCTGAACTGCCAGCTGTCTCCATTTCTGATCTAACACCAAAAATTGAGCTGGAGTTAGAATCATATTAAATAGAGCTTTCCAGTCAGCTGGAATCATTTTATTTCCATAACCAACTGCTTCTAACAATGCCTGAGCATATGGCGATCTAACACCATATTCTTTTGCTGCTTGCTTAATTTCCTTTAAAATCTTGAGAGCTAGAGGCTTCCATACTCTCTGCGGATTTAAAGCAGCATCCACACCAATTTCTACTGGATTAAGTTGAATCTCCACTCCAAATTCTACCAAATCATCTCCTGATAATTCCCCTCTATTTGTTGCTTCTTGAATAGCTGCAGTAACTGCATCTACTTGAACTCTTAAAGGCAAACTCTTATCTTCTGACAAAGTATTTTCAGTGCCTGACAGTCCTCTGGATTTATCTGGAGGTGCTGTCGGCGGCAATAAACGTACCGCATGGTAAGGCGGCAAACCTTCTTCGGGGGGTGCTAGGAGCGGTTGCTCATGAGTAGCTAATGCTTCCATAAGCACCCTCCAGGTTAACAAAATTGAAGAAGGGGCACGAGGTTCCTCGTGCAAAAATATCCCTATTTTTTTCCAGGACTCTACTTTAATACTACCTCCCTCTGGATATGACTGAATATGTTTCCAAACATACTGTAATAAGTCCTCAATTTCTTTCTTTCCTACTTCATGTCCTCTACTATGAACTCCAAACTTAAACCTATTCCAAGTGATCTCTCTCAATTCCCTAATGTGCCTTGTCTGAGCCTTCGAGAGATCTCCCCCCATACTCACGAAAATAATCTATCTCCGTCCCGCGAAGAAGATGAGGGCCCAGTCGACGTCTGCGACAATGAGTATAGGATGCAGGAAACGTATAGCCTTTCAAAGCTATCACGTCGGAACGTATAGCCTTTCAAGCTATCACGTCGGAACGTATAGCTCTTCCAAACTATCACGTCGGGGTCACCACTTGTGGTGGTCTGGCACTTGAAATGAGACGCAGGGAACCGTCTGAGCAAATGCCAGCCCCGAGAGAACTCGGGTAGCAGTATTTATTTAAGAAAATGCCAGTACAGAATCAAAACAATGACCTCAACCTCAGCAGCATTACCTCAACAGGGCCTCAGCAGGGCTGCGGAAAGTCCCATGAGAATATCTAAACACAGAAAGTCTCACGGGAATGGCTCGGCTGGGTACTGTGAACTTTCACCGATATACCTGGTCTCTCTAAGCTTTGCAGACCCAAACAGGACAAACCACCCATAGCAAAGGCAATGCTGCCCTCACTAGGGGCATTTTTAAATCCCTAGATCTATGCATTAGCTGTACGAAAGACTTACAGAATATGATGAATATGATGAATTACCACAGGGGGGATAGTACCTTTTTTCACTTTAGTACAGTTTTGAGCTTCATTTAGCCACTAACAGCTGATAGCTTGAGCTATAATCAATGCCTAGAAGTATCTTAAAAGATGCAACTTTTATGTGACTATTATGATAAGTATAATGGAAAAAGGTTACAAATTTTACTGCAAAGAAATGTAGTTTGACTCAGCTACTTCATGGATACAGATCTTCCTTTACAACACTTTGCCAGATGTTCTTAAAATAGGAAAATATTTTTTGAGAATAAAATAGTATGTTTTGAATTTCCCTCAAATTTCCACTTTAGGAGATTGTATCCTTGAATTTTACAGCTTTTTAGAAGGAGCCTGGTTTGGAAGAAAGGTTTATTTTCTACCTTAAAAATAACAATTTAATATCTGAATTATTGCTCTGTCTTTATTTTCTTACAGAAATGGCAGTGCCAAAATGGTATCAAATGTTATTATAGATAAAGAAGAAGAAGAGGATGACCAGTTTATAGTGAAAGCAGAACAACAGCTACCTGAAATAACAGAACTGAAAATGGTTAGTTTATGTGCTTTCTTATTTAAATATGAAACTGTTAATGTGTTGTTAACTGTTTTGCTCTCATTTTCTTTGTGCGATTTCAGTCGGTTACTTTCCACTTTATGTCTGGATGTTGAAAGTTCAAAACGAGACTACAGATGGAGACATTTTCCAATCTTAGTTAATTTAAGATTTGCAGTTATCTTTAGAATGGTATATATACATAATCTTAAGCACTCAAAGCAGAAAAATGTGGATGTTACATTATGTCATATCCCCAAGTACAAGGGAACCCATTAACGCACTAATAGGTTTGAACCTGATCCGTCTATGTATATTTGAAGAGTTCTAAATAGGACAAAGCTGGTCATATACTTCCTCCTGTGATCAATGTAAGTAAAAATGTTCACTTTTTCTTGACAAATATAAGAAAAATATTAGTCTTCAGAATTTGATGGATATCTGAAGTCAGTGTAAGATCTTCTTACTGACAGTTCTGTATTTATTTCTGTGTGAATATGATCTGTTCTCCCCATAAGTACTAAAACTAGATAAAGAGAAGCCAATTAAAAATGAGTCAAAACATTATACTTGTTCATTTATTTATTGAGGAAAATGTTGTGGTTTGTAGGTGACAAAAGTATACGAATGTTTAGAATTATCACTTTATTGGAAGGGGAAAATAAAGTCATCAATATTTCATCAATGAGATGATAATCAGGTGTGAGTATGATAACTAAAAACAAAATTTTTAAAAATCATTATCTGGAGAAATACCTTTTTCATACACGGTGTAATGCAATTATTAGACAAGTATTTTGACCGTATCATCATTTTAATGCATATTTCTACCTCCAAACTGCATAAATGTGAATGCTTATCAGGTGATGTGCATTTGTGTAATTAGGGTATGGCCTAAGGAGATAAACATCCTGTATCAAGGTGTGCATAATTATTAGGCAACTTCTTTTCCTCAGGCAAAATGGGCCAGGAAAGAGATTTAACTGACCCTCAAAAATTGTACAAACTTTTTCAGAGGGATGCAGCACTCTTGATATTGCTAAGGTATTGGGGTGTGATCATAGAACCATCAAACATTTTGTTGCAAATAGTCAACAAGGTCGCAAGAAACATGTTGAGAAAAAAGACATAATTTAAGTGCCAAAGGTTTGAAAAGAATCAAATGTGATGCTACCAGGAGCCCATTATCCTCCAGTGCTGTCATATTCCAGAACTGCAACTTACCTGGTATGCCCAGAAGTACAAGGTGTTCAGTGTTGAGACATGGGCAAGGTAAGGAAGTCTGAAACCCGGCCACCATTGAACAAGACACATCAGTTGAATGGACTAAATTGGACAAAGGCATATCTGAAAACAGATTTTTCAAAATTTTATAGACTGATGAGATGAGAGTGACTCTTGGTGGACCAGATGGATAGGCAAGGTGCAGGTGAGGTATTTGTATGGGCTGGTATTATTAAAGATGAATTAGTTGGACCATTTCACATTGAAGATAGACTGACAATCAACTCCCAAACCTGCTGCCAGATTTTAGAAGACACTTTCTTCAAGCAGTGGTACAAGAAAAAATCTGCATATTTCAAGAAGACCATGATTTTTATGCAGGATACTCCCATCGCATCCATTGAAGTACTCCACTGCATGGCTAGCCAGTAAAGTCTTTAAGGATGAAAGAATAATGACATGGCCCCCTTCCTTACCTGACCTAACCCTATTGAGAACTTGTGGGCCCTTCTTAAAAGAGAGATGTGTGGTGAAGAAAAACAGTACAACTCTCTAAACAGTGTCTGGGAGGCTGTGGTTGCTGCTGCACAAAAAGTTGATTGTCCGCAAATCAGGAATGACGGATTCCTTGAATGGAAGGCTTATGATTGTTATTGAAGAAAATAGTGGCTACAGTGGTCAGTGATTTTTTTTAAAAAAGCCAGAAATGTTTATTTGTAAATTTGTAGTTATTTCTTATTCTGAAAATAAACGAGTGAGATGGACAATTTTCATTTTTCATTTAGTTGCATAATAATTCTGGACATTAATAACAGACTAAGAGAGTTGGAAGGGACCTTGGAGATCTTCTAATCCAATCCCCCTGCTTAGGCAGGAAACCCTACACCACTTCAGACAAATGGTTATCCAATCTCTTCCTAAAAATGTCCAATGTGGGAGCATTCACAACTTCTGGAGGCAAGTTGTTCCACTGATTAATTGTTCTCACTGTCAGGAAATTTCTCCTTAGTTCTAAGTTGCTTCTCTCCTTGATTAGTTCCCACCCATTGCTTCTTGTCCTGTCCTCAGGTGCCTTGGAAAATAGCTTGACTCCCTCTTCTTTGTGGCAACTCCTGAGATATTGGAACACTGCTATCATGTCATCCCTGGTCCTTCTTTTCCTCAAACTAGACATACTCAGTTCCAGCAACCGTTCTTCATATGTTTTGGCCTCCAGTCCTCTAATCATCTTTGTTGCTCTTCTCTGCGCTCTTTCTGGAGTCTCCACATCTTTTTTACATCCTGGCGACCAAAGCTGGATGCATTTTTCGAAGTGTGGCCTTACCAAGGTTTTATAGAGTGGTATTAACACGTCACATGATCTTATAGTTGCCCAATAATTGTGCACACATAGATATTCCCTTAAGAAAGCCAAAACCTTTCTTTTACTTCCTTAAATATTCAGATTTGGGGTTTAGTAACATTTTGATCGACTAGCACTGTAATTGTTTAATAATAGAATTAATCCTCAAAAATACAAGTTGCCTAATAATTGTGCACACAGTGTATGTTAAGATGCCAATTGTTACAATCATCTTGGAAGATTTTTTTTTCCTGCATGCTGCTCTCCACAGTGATATGAGGGACAGCTACATACAAAGCTTCCTCCATTCTTGCTGTACAGAATGCCTAATATCCTCACTACCTGATACCCTTGCTAAAGCCTACCACTTCCAAAAAATTGTTTTATTAATCAATAATTGTGTATTTGGGTATTGTTATTGACTTAATTTATTACCAAATTATATAAGCATTATTATTTCCTTAGTTTCTGCTATTTTGTTTGTATTGGTGTACTGGTTGGTATATAAATTATATCAAAGAAAATTATGTATGAAAAAATGAAAAGAATATGCATAATCAGTATATGCACATATGAAAGAAATTGTTACTTTTGGAACAGAAGTTGAAGCAATTTCCTGCACATTCTTAAAATCAACTATAAAAGGTTTACAATGACGATAGGGAAAATTATTTTCTCCAATTACATAATTTTGGATTTTACCTGTTGAATGAACTCATTGAAACTGTAATAATTTGGATACCTTTTAGGAGCCTAAAACATGAATAATTCCTTCAAATCTTGTTAGAATATGATGATGTTTATTATGTTCTTAGAATAAGAGAAAGAGAGAGAGTTCCAAGCATTACTCCTTCTAAAGTATCAAGTATTAAAACACTACAATCTGTTGATCACAATAATAACCTTTCTGCAATTCAGAAACCTTTCTGTTTATCTAATTTAGGAGGCAACAGTAGAGCTTGAAGGAGATGAGAAACATGGTAAGTGTGTTGTTCAATAATATTTTCCTCTGCTTTTGTATGTTCATTTTTATTCATCTATCATATAGCTAAATTTCAGAAAACAGAACTGGCTTAGTTGAAAGTCACATTTTCTTTAGCTCTGCCTTTCCTACTTTGATAAAGATCCTTAGATATTTAGTTTTTTGTTCACCTCTTTCCATTATTTAACTACTTGATCCAAGTTTTGCTTCTTTATTTGTGAACAATTTCCTTTCATTGCAGCCTAGTAAAAATAATTATTTTCATGGTTTCTATGGGTTACATTTCATATTGGTATCTGCACAGAGCATATTTTAGCTAAACCAAAAGGTAGTAACTCTCTTCCATCTTCCTACATAATTGTAATCCAGTTTCTTTTTCTCTCCCACTCTGGTAATCTTGAAAGAAGCATTCCCCAGAACGTGCTGCTTTTATTGCTTTAATATTTCTGCTATTTGCCTTCCTTATCCCTTTTTAATATCATCATTGTGAGAAGAAAGTATTTTATCTTAAAGATCCCTCGTCAGATCCTGTTATATAAATAATTTAGTATATGGTTTAAATTAGATATAGTATTATTCCTATTTCACGAGTAGAAAATTACAAAAACATCACACCACATGTATGCAGAAACCACTGTTTTCACTTGCATTTTGGTAGCAAGCTTGAAAACCATTTGGAGTGCATCAACAATTAATGTTTGTAAGGCTCCATTCCCTGCCCATTTGCTCAATCTTGGCCAAATAAAAGTTTAATATTCATAATCATTAGACATTAAGTTGATTTCCTACTCATGCCATTCCATGTAGTCCAATAACCAATCAGCAGGATTGTCAAACTCCCACCCCTTGGGCTGGATGCGTCGCATGCTGGCCATGCCCACGCCATATGTCACGTGACACCATTGTGACAATGTGAGTTTGACACCCCTGGTCTAAAGGCTCATTTAAAAAGGTGATGGTAGGAAAGAATACAAATAGACAGAAAACAGAGCTTTCCTTCCATTTTCTAGAACATAAGAGGATCCTAACTTTTTCTGCCTTTCTCTGATAAGCAAGCATGGATGCATTGAGCTGAACGTGTATAGGTAATCCTTGATTTAAAGCCACAATTGAGTCCAAGTTTCCATTGCTAAGCAAGACAGTTGTTAAGTGAGTTTTGTCCTACTTTACAACCTTTCATGCCACAGCTGTTAAGTGAATCACTGTGGTTATTTAGTAATGCAATTGTTAAGTTAATCTGGTTTCCCAAAAGGTTGTAAAAGGTGATCACATGACACTGGGACATTGCAGCCATAATAAATACATGCCAGTTGCCAAGCACCCAAATTTTGATCACATTACCATGAGGATGCTGCAGTAGTCATAAGTAAAAAAAAAACCCAACTCGAATGGTCACTAAACAACTGGTTGTAAATTGAGGACTACCTGTAATCTGTAGAAAAGCTCAAGATAGGTAGTTTCCAAATGTTACATATCCATCCCCCATGGTGGGCCCTTCTACAGCCCCAAATCAGAGGTGAAGCAACAATGTGCTTAGAATTATTTGTAGTATTGCTGTATTGGTTCAAAGCAAATCAGACTAATTTACACCAAACTCACATCCAGGAAATTGGCTGGCTCATGTGAAAGAGAACAGAAAGATTTCTTTCCAGAAAGTAGAGTCAATAAAGGTGATAAAAGGACTTCCACAAACTGTATCATGAAAGAACAATACATAATTGAGGGAGTCAAACAAATGGTCAGAAGGCTGCTTCATTCTAGAGGAAGATAGCAACCTCTTTCAGACATAATTCTTGGGGTGCTTTTCCTTGGTCAACCAGTCCTGAGAAGGAAAATGATGGTGTTACATTTTCCTCATTTGTATATTATCTGACGAATATAGATCAGTAGAAGAAAGAGTCATTGCTAATGGCACTTTCCAGCTTTACGAGCATTGACAGGTTCAGAGAATTCTCTTTTGATTGAGGCAATTGTGTGTTGTATATAGCAGACACTAGTTGTTTCAATCAACATGTATAGGAGAGCCCTTCAGTCACATCTTTTTGTCATCTTATTAATTAGAACATCTAACTCATTCCTTTAAGAGGCTGATTATCTTAGGAATTTTATGTACTTTTTCTAACAAAGACAGTAAAAGTTGGTTCACTGTGTTAAATGAAATTATGACAAAAGGTTTGCTCAAGGTTCTATTATGAAAGGTGAAAGAAACTGACCAGAAGGCAGCTCTTGACTGTAATTCACCCAATATTATAGAATGCACAGTCCCCAGGGATAAGTTTGCCCCCTTGATATTCTGAAAAGCCCCCCAAAACATGCCTTAAGCGGGTATTAGACTGAGTGGCCATTTTTCATTATATTGTTTTGATAATGTTTAATTTCTTTTATGGATTTTCAATTTTAAGGTTTTATTGTTAACCACCTAAATCTGATTGAGATGGTATAAAATTACATAAATGAATGAAAAAAGATACCAAATGAATATTCTACTTTAAGTGTGATTGAGAGAAATATGAGGGGTTCTTGGTGCTCTCTAAGCTTGGTTATCTTCTTGCAAATGTTTCATTACCCAAGTTAGGTGACATCATTAGTGCTGATGATGTTGCCTAGTCTAGGTAATGAAAGGACCTCTCAATTCAGTCATGAACTACAAATATTCCATCACACTTGGATGGAAAGCCAAAGAAAAAGGCAAAAAAATGATACAACTCATGATCACAGAAGCACACCTTATCTTAATCAAATACCAACATACAACGACAAACCTCAAGAAACATTACACCAGAGCACATGGAGAGGCTGGACACCACCATCATGAGTATTTCCTAGAGAGATGCCAAAAAATGGGGTGGGGGAAACTTCAAAAAACCCTCTTCAAACTAAACCTCCAAATCCAAGAGACACCAGAGCCCAAATGTATAGTCAACATATCCAGTCATCCACTATCCATGGCAGGACACAATACTCTACAGAAAGACCTCAAGTGTAACACTGATTATGTCAATCAATTGGAATTCTTTGCAGCCTCTAGCATTTGAAACTGCTAGACTACCCATAAGAGATCCATCAGGCAATCCATCATACCACAGACCAGAAGAAAATGAGAACAAAATCAACTTACAGCAGAGGACAGAGCAGCCCTCAAAAGCCTAAAAAAGGACCAGACTATCATTTTCCCACCAGCACACAAGGCCAAACCAGTTATTTAGATCAGATCACAATATAGACAAAAAACGAATTATTAGAAGACAAACAATCGGATCAAGAGAACTCTCCCAATAGACAATCAGATCAAGAGAACTCTTAGTGACTTACCAAGAAAGCCAAATTACCAACGAGGAACAGTGGCAAATGAGAAGCAATGGACCTGTCTCTCATGCTTCTATGGATGCCCCAAAATACACAAACCTGTCATACCTCTCCCCCAGCACTACCAGAGATCCCTACCTACAAGATCACAAAAGAACTAACAAAAATACCCGGGCACCTTACAAGGGGAAGCATACAATGCCTTAAAAGAATCAAAGACATGGCAATAGTTGAGGTCAAAATCATAGCTTCATTTGATATCACATGATAGCAGTTTTCAGGTCCATAGACCTGGAATTAGTCAAGAATCTCTGACATTACTCCACAGCACACCTGACTTAATGAAATACACAAAGATTGAAATACCCAGGATCATGAATGTTATCAACTTCTGTCTAATCTTATACTTTCAATTCAACCGACAATCTTATCAACAAATTTAATGTATGCCTATGGGATCATCACTTTCAAGACTCATAGTAGAGGTTGTAATGCAACATCTGGAATCAATAGTAATTCCATAAATACAACCCAAAATATGGATCAGATATGTAGATGACATCATACTAATAAAAAAGGACCAGAAAAAAAAAATACACAGAAATCCATCAACATCTTCAAAGGAAACTAATTCACCAGAGAAGAATAAAACAACAATTCACTACCCTCCCTGGATATCATGATCATCAGAGACTATAATGTCAAACTGTAAACACAAGTGTACTGAAAAGTCATGTACACCTATTAAGTATTTCACTAACAAATAATAACCTTACCTCAATCAATCCGAGGTAGAAGGGACCTTAGAGGTCTTCTAGTCCAACCCCCTCCTCAAGCAAGAGACTCTATACCTTTTTAAAAAAGTGACTGTCCAGTCTCTTCTTAAAAATCTCCAGTAATAAAGCACCTTCTAAAGGCAAGTTGTTCCACCAGTTAATTGCTCTCACTGTTAGGAAGTTTCTCCTTAATTCCAGATTGCTTCTCCTTGATTAGTTTCCATCCATTGTTCCAATAATTGACACCAGGGGTGTCAAACTGTTGGCCTGCAGGCTGGATACGTCACACGCCGGCCACACTCACCCCAGCTCTGCAAAGGGAAAAATGTCTCGAAACATCACGTGACAGCAATGTGATGCCACGAGTTTGACACCTGTGCTCTAGACTAGCCATACCTAGTTCCTGCAACTGTTCTTCATGTGTTTTAATCTCCAGGCCTTTAATCATCTTAGTTACTCTTCTCTGCACTTTTGCTGAAGGGGACCATAAAACTAAACAAGAGTTGCAAAATCAAGGTGTGGACCTATCATGGTGGCCACATAAGCAAATACAATCAAGATATGAAATATGTTAAGGCATATGGCTTCCACAAAGAGCAAACAATACTTGATCAAATAATGTGAGAGGAAGATGAAAAGTTAATAAAGAAACTACACTGCTCAAAAAAATAAAGGGAACACAAAAATAAGACATCCTAGATCTGAATGAATGAAATTTTCTTATTAAATACTTTGTTCATTACATAGTTGAATGTGCTGACAACAAAATCACACAATAATTATCAATAGATATCAAATTTAGCAACCCATGGAGGTCTGGATTTGGAGTTACACTCAAAATTAAAGTGGAAAAAAACACTACAGGCTGATCCAACTTTGATGTAACGTCCTTAAAACAAGTCAAAATGAGGCTCAGTAGTGTGTGTGTGGCCTCCACGTGCCTCTATGACTTCCCTACAACACCTGGGCATGCTCCTGATGAGGTGGCAGATGGTCTCCTGAGGGATCTCCTCCCACACCTGGACTAAAGCATCCCCCAACTCCTGGACAGTCTGTGGTGCAACGTGGCATTGGTGGATGGAGCGAGACATGATGTCCCAGATGTGCTCAATTGGATTCAGGTCTGGGGAACGGGCGGGCCAGTCCATAGCATCAATGCCTTCGTCTTGCAGGAACTGCTGACACACTCCAGCCACATGAGGTCTAGCATTGTCTTGCATTAGGAGGAACCCAGAGCCAACTGCACCAGCATATGGTCTCACAAGGGGTCTGAGGATCTCATCTCGGTACCTAATGGCAGTCAGGCCAGCTCTGGCGAGCACATGGAGGGCTGTGCGGCCCCCTAAAGAAATGCCACCCCACACCATTACTGACCCACTGCCAAACTGGTCATGCTGGAGGATGTTGCAGGCAGTAGAACATTCTCCATGGCGTCTCCAGACCCTGTCACGTCTGTCACATGTGCTCAGTGTGAACCTGCTTTTATCTGTGAAGAGCACAGGGCGCCAGTGGCGAATTTGCCAATCTTGGTGTTCTCTGGCAAATGCCAAACGTCCTGCACGATGTTGGGCTGTAAGCACAACCCCCACCTGTGGACGTCAGACCCTCATACCACCCTCATGGAGTCTGTTTCTGACCGTTTGAGCAGCCACTTGTACATTTGTGGCCCGCTGGATGAGCTGCACTACCTGAGCCACCTGTGTGGGTTGTAGACTCCGTCTTATGCTACCACTAGAGTGACAGCACTGCCAGCATTCAAAAGTGACCAAACCATCAGCCAGAAAGCATAGGAACTGAGAAGTGGTCTGTGGTCACCACCTGCAGAACCACTCCTTTATGGGGGATGTCTTGCTAATTGCCTATGCTTTCCACCTGCTGTCTATTCCATTTGCACAACAGCATATGAAATTGGTTGTTAATCAGTGTTGCTACCTAAGTGGACAGTTTGATTTCACAGAAGTGTGATTGACCTCCAGTTACATTGTGTTGTTTAAGTGTTCCCTCTATTTTTTTGAGCAACATCAGGGGTATTTATAGACTATATGCTGTAGTTTAATATTCCATAGGTATGGGTGGAGAAAGGGAACACATTTTTATCATTCATTGCATATTTCTGTATATTTCTAAAGTATATCTAGGTAATTATTAATCCTAATCTGGATGTCTACATCTCACTTTTTTTCCTAGCAGTTCCTCAATTTCTACAACTTCTCCCTCATCCTGTCTGTTTGCTAGTATTCCAATTTTGTTTCCCTTTTTTCTTCTTTTTAAATTCCTTTTGTGACCTTTCTTTATTGTACTTTACCCACATATTAAATGCCCCTTTGGAACTGCATTTTAATGAATCAGTATTATAGAATTACAAACATGATTATTAACATGGAAATTGAATAAATTTTTATATTGCATCAATACAATTTCTATAAAACATGTATATAATTTTTTATATTTAAAATCAATAGCAGGAATAATTGAACAAGTGGTGCAAATCAACCAATAGTATTTTCAAAAACTTGACAAAAGAATTGACTCTGAATCACCATCTTACCATCACAGCCCAGAAAAGATGACATTTCTGTTGTGTCTTTGTAGAGGAATAGTGTATCATCTTAAATTATTTTCATATTACTTCTACAGGACGTACTGCAATAATTTTAGGACAAAATATCTTATTTCAGTGAAAGAAAATTAAATTAAGGTCCAATTTGCTTTTTTTTCTTTTTATACAATACCTTTATTGTTACTATAGTAATGGTACTCATTTTCAATAGGTAGCCTTGTCCAAAGAATATTGGAAACAAAGAAGGATTATGAAATGTCACAGTTGCAAAAATCTGCTGAAAAGGTAACTTGCAAATAAACTCCAAAAAATCGATTATGCCAATTTTTTTCCTCTTACAATTTATTAGTATCTCCAATCTAATCATCTTTTAACTGATTTTAATATTAAAGCAGAGATTATCATAGAGATATAAACAAAAAAAGTAATGTTTCAACAGCATTTATTTTAATACTTTGGTGTACGTCACTCAAAGTGGTATCAAAGTGGTACAAAAATGTGATAAATGAAAAGGAAGGAAGGAAGGACGGATGGTTTAATGGTTTAAATGTTGTCTATAATTTTTTTCTAAAGAGAAAATCCATTGACTTGACCTGGCTAGTGTTTGAATCTTATGGAGTTGAATTAAATTGAATCAAAGATGGAAGTTAGCAGGAAGTTATAGGCACTCTGGCTGACAACATGTGTTTTCAATATTTGGTCAATTGTTTGTTTTTTAACAAATTTTATTGGGATAAACATTAAAACAGTTGAACACAGTGCAACTTTCCTGGCAGTTATTTTGCCATACATGCTATAACATAAAACCACATATAACAATTGATCTCTTCTTTATTCTATGTTACTAAGTTGGTGCTATTTACATATATATTTTCCTATTTACAACATAATTTCCTTGCATGTTCTTTTTACATAGTCATTATATCCACTATATTACATTGTTTTTAGCTTAAGAATCTTCCACCTTCATTCTTATAAAGCGTCACAATTTGTTTTTTGTTTTCTTTGGACTTCCTTTCTTCGAGTCTAACCATTGGTACATTTTGATCCAGACTTCATAATATTCTGTCTCACCCTTATCTTTAATTTCTAATGTTAGCCTCTCCATCTTTGCACAGACCAAATTTTTCTTTATTATTTCACTTTCCTGGGGGATATTCCCATTCTTCCAATTTTGGGCATAGACCAATCTTCAGCAGTTATAACATGCAACATTAAGTATATCATTCTTTTGCTATATTTTCCTTCTGTAATTCCCAATATGAACAATTCTGGTCTGAACTCTGTTTTTTGGCCAAGCATCTCTTCCAACCGTTTCTTAATCTGCCACCAAAATTATTTTGCTTTGATGCATGACCACCACATATGATAATATGTCTCTAACACTGTGTTACATTCCCAATATTGTGGTGATGCGTTTTTGCTCATTTCTGCCAATCTTGTTGGAGGTCAGTGACACCTGTAAAACATTTTGTATAGGTTCTCTTTATAAGAAGTAGCCAAGGTTAGTTTCCTATTCCTTTCCCATAACTTTTGCCATTTATCTAATTCGATATTGTAACCAAAGTTTTTTGCCCATACTACAATTACTTCTTTCACTTGTTCCTCCTCCATTTTATATTCCAATAGGTATTTGTAGGTTATCTTAATTGCTTTTTCATCTGTTCCTAGTAATATTTTATCTAATATCATCAATTCTTTCTGTATGGCCTGCTCGTTTTTGTCTTTCTTATAGCATGATTGGATTTGTAAGTATGCCCACCATTCCAATTGTACCCTTTCTTCTTCTAGTTCTTGTCTGGATTTTAGTTCCCCGTTCTCATTTACTATATCTTTATATGTAATAACTTTCCCCAAGTTGATGAAGTTTGGATGCATTAGATTGGTCAATTGTAAATGCCTTATAGCTATTGTAAATAATTTTAATATCCATGGCACACTTGTGGCAAGATTTTCAAAAATATAGGAGAGTTGGTAATTTTTCTCTTTCCTTATATTCCAGTAATGGTTGATACTGATTAAAGGGACTCAATCAATAGCAATAGCTTTACAGAGTCAGCATATGGGCATGTCTTAGTATGCCCCTGTGACACCTCTGCTTTATAACCTGCACTGGCTCTAGCTTGCTTCTTAGTGTGATACAAGATGCTGGTTACCACCTATAAAGTTCTGTATGGCATAGGCCTAGCCTCCTCTTCCTCCACCTGGAGGTCCCTTAGGTTTCTGGGTATACTTGTCATGAAACTGTTTGACTAACCTATCTGCCTTCACATCCCAGCTCTTGACCAAAGTTTTCAAGGTTCCAAGTAATAATCCCATAGCAGGCAAAACTCCGAGGCAGCATATAGAATAGCTGTATTGGAAATATCATAGTGGCACAGATCTCATGAAAACCAACTCTAAAGACTCCTGCAGTTTTCACCTAATTAAAAGTAAATGTTTTTTCTCTTTCTCAAAACAGTCATATGGTCCAATCACAGTGCGATCTGGCAACTGGGTAGCATCACTCTGCCTTCCTCCAACCAAGTGTGAGAATGTCCTTGGTTCCCAAGAGAAAGTATTTTGTTTTGGCTACAAAATCCGCTCTATCTCAATCACCCCTCCCTATCCCTCAGCTCCAGCGTGGCAACACTGAAGTAGTAAAAATGGCTTTGGTCAGGTCAGCTTCAGGGTTGACACAAGTAGCTTTGGAGAGTGGATACCCCTTCCATTGCACTAAGTACTGCAACTGGTTCCTATGCAATTGAGAATCTAGGATTTTCTTGATCTCGTAATGTGTCTCCCCGTGTATTACAATTGATTTGGGGATGCCCAATCTACCGGTCTGATCTGGGAGCCTGCCACCAGCTTCAACAAGCTGCTGTGAAAGACCAGGTGCGCTTTCCTTAGCAAGTGTAAGCTGTACAGTAACACAGTTGATTACTTTTCCTATAAACTTTGGTCCTAGCTTTTTACAAGGGAGCTTTAACTTTAAGTGCTTTTGCTGAGAGGTAAACCTTGCTCCCCACTTGGAATGGCACTGTGGAGTGGTGTGACATTTATCAGTTTGTGCTTTATGGCTCTTTGCTGCTTCTCATAGGGCTTGCTTGATATTTTCCCATGCCGCGTTCAGTGACTCCATCCATTTGGCTAGTGATATGGATGAGCATGATTCCTTGGGAAGTTCAGGCATGGGGACAAACTCCATGCCACTGGTAACTCGAAAAGGAGTCAGGTCGATGTTACTGTGTATCACATTATTGTATGCCACCTTAGCAAACGGCAGCAAATCCACCCAGTTTGTTTGCTGATAGTTGACATAGCACCTCAAATACTGCTCTATCATGGTGTTCACGCATGCTGTGGCCCCATTGGTACTCGGATGAAATGCCAAATTAAGTCCCTGCAAGGACCCAATGGACCAATGGGTCTTGGACGTTGTTTTCTTCTACAGGCATGGGTGACATGTTTTCATTGGTCTGCCTCTAAAAAATCATGTACAGGTTTATTTCTTCTAGTGGTTGTTTCTGTATTGTGTTCAGTTTGGATACAGTTTTCTTCCTTTGGTTGGAATTTCTTTGTTTTGTAGGTTGAGCCTCAGAGTGTCTAGAGTTGCTTCTAGATCTTTTACTTTTTCTTCAAGTAATTCATTTAATTTTCATTAGGTGCATGTATAATTTGTGTCTTCTATGAGCATGAGTGCCTACATGGAACATATTTTGCAAATGACAATAACATCAGTTTCTTTTTCCATGACTATGTTTCTTTGCATGACTAATTCATTTAAAAATTAAAACTTTCCAAAATTTTCAAAATGGACCTGGGGGTATAGATACTGATTTTTTGCATACAATTGACCATGAAAAAAAGTCTGGAAAATGAAGGGAGATGAATTGTTGACTAAGGGAATCATGCTGACATGAAATGCTTGATTTGCTTTCCAAATAAATGATGTCTAATTGGGCTGTACCTCATAAGGACTGGGAGAATATCGTTAAAATGTTTGATTATTGTATTATCCAATGACATAACTTTTGCTAGAGTAAGCATAGCATTTTATTTCTCTGCATTTGATATTATTCACTTAATTTATATTCGATGTCTTCTTGTGAAATGAACACTGTTTCAGTGATGCTTTTAAAACATATTCTTTCAGTCCCGTTACTTTATTTTTCCCATTGATTGATATCTGAACTTTTTAAAAACTATTAGGAGAAGCCACTTTTGTCAGAAGCAGCAAAGAGAAAGGAAAAAGATTTAGTAACTAAAGAAATAGAGAAATTTCGTGGCTCCATTCAGGCCCTTTGTCGGAGTGCTCTCCCTCTTGGTAAAATAATGGACTATATTCAAGAAGATGTAGATGCCATGAAAATTGAGCTTCAGACATGGCAGAATGAAAATAAAGAACTTGAAGAGACCCTGCGGAAGGAACAAGGGTAAGAATCTTTTAAAAATTTGAACAATTGCAATAATAATAAAAGATTAGATTAATCCAAAGTTTCATAGAGTTTTATCTACAAGACAAATCTGAATTGGATCTGTGTCCTTGACTGGATGTGCAAAACTGAGGAAGATAGCACACTAGAAGAGATTTAACACTTTTGTAGGAAAACATTGAAGGCAAAGTCATAGTAACCTTAAAAACTGCATGAATTGGAGGGAAATAATATTCTCTCTCAAGCTACCACATCTATCTATAGCAGTAAGCGCAAGCATGTGGGTGCTTCTGTTTCTAGGAAGAAAGCACAGTGCCAGGTTGAAGAAAAGTAAACTGCTTGCCTCCCACAATTCAACTTTTCAGCAGGCAAAGATTAATAAATGCAGTAGCTCTCTATTGCCTACCTGCAGTTTGAGCCAGATAGCCTTCTAGTCTTACTTGCAATTTCCACTTAGTTGAAGAGCTACTCTCTACAATATTCCTGTTACTTTATTATTAATGAAAGATGTAGTTGTTTTCTTGCGATAAACTGTTAGTGATTGATTCTGTAAGTACTATAGGAGGGGATGATGAAATAAGTGCTACATGTACTACATTTAAGTATTGATAACATCTGTCATCCAACATGCTGTTGAATTAACTTTAATCTATCACTAACTACTAAGAGACAGTTTTCTGTAGTGGATAGAGGCACCAGGCCAGATACCAGGATATTGTTGAGTTCAAGTCCTGCCTTAGGCGTGATGGTAACTGAATGACTTTGAGCCAGTCACTCAGTCTCAGCAAATGCTGCTAAGAAAACTAAATGGATTTGTCCAGGCAGATTCCCAAAATTTAGCATGCATATGTGCATATGTCCACATGTGTGCGTGCACCCCCCCCCCATCGTGCAAACTATTTGATACTGTGAACTAACTGAAATGAATTACACATGTGAAGCATGAAGAATACCTGTGTTGTTCTTTATTATATTGTTACTTGTTATGACACAAATGGTATAAGACAAAACATTATTGATGCATCTGTCCATCAGCTTTGTAAGATATCTCCTTCATTTTACAGTCTAATGGAAAATACTTAAGAATACATACTTAAACTCTTGTTTTAGTTCAATCTGGATGACTTTCTTTTCTCCTTTACTGCCCAACTCAAGTAAAATCTCCAGATTAGATGAGTTAGTTCTCATCTTACAATCATAATTGAGCCTAGAATTTTGGTTGTAAGCTATGGTCATTAAATGAGACACCTATGTTGCTACCTTCTCAAAGATCACAATCATTATAGTTGTTAAACAACTGTACCTGGTGCTTTGGGATTGGGAGAGAAGTCTTGGGAGCCCCAGTGCCCACTGGCATGCAGAAATCAGACATGGACAGAAGCCCTTGGCCAGCTAGGCCCAGCACTGCCTTCTCCCTTCCCACCTACCCATCCTTGTTCCTAGCCAGCCTTAAAAAAGATTGCCTCTCTAGCCTTAAGAAAATTGCCTTTGCTAGCTGTCTAACTCAGCTTTGCATCAGGTGGGTGTTCTTGTGAGCAGCTGCAAGGGAAGGAAAAGGTATGTGGACCTTGGATGTGTTGGGCAAAGAAGACTGGATGGGAGGCCAGGCTTCTTGGGAGTGGCGAGGGGAAGGTAGGAGAGCCTAGCCAGCTGAGGCCCTTTGGGAGGGGGAAGGAGGAAGTCTCCCTGGAGTTGGAGGGAGGAAGAAGGATTGCGTGCAGCTGGCCTAGCTGGTTGTTCCAGGAGTGGAAGGGGCGGGGCACGAAACAGGCTTCCTGGGAGGAAGGGGAGGTAGCAGCCCATGCACTGCTGGGGATAGCCAGCAAGGTGTCCTGGTGTGTAGAAGGTTTCCATGTGACAAAGCCTAGTTGTTCAAGGTCTCATGGTCCACAGAGGGGGAGTTGTAGCACTCCTGCAGTCATAAGGATGGATGTACTGCCAAGTGCCTGAATTTTGATCACATGACCACAGGGGCACTGCCACAATTAGAACTTCAGGCAGAATTCATCAGTCCATTTCTTCAATGCCATTGTAATTTTAAACTGCTGTGAGCTCATTTTCTTATCATTTATTTGAATCAAATGTAATAATATACAGCAGGGGTGTCAAACTTGTGGTGTCACATTGTCGCCACATGACATATCATAACTTTTTTCTCCCTTTGCTAAAATGGGGGTCGCCAGCACATGACACATCCGGCCCATGGGCCGTGAGTTTGACACCCCTGATATACAGTATCCAGAACAGATTTACATTAGTTTTACAGTGTATAGTTTGTTGTTTTTATATTTTTCAGAATCACAGATGGTGTTGTGGAACCCTTAAAAATAGAACTTACTGAGTTGGATCAATTAATCAAAGATGAAGAAGACAAGATTTATACTAGGAGAGCTAATGTTTTAAGAAACAATGAAAAAATTCAGAAGATGATTCATATTATCAACTCAAGAAGATGAATAGTGGAAGACTGGAACCCATTATATTGTTTGCAAATAAAATTACAATACAATAGCTTATACAATTTCAAGAATTTATTTGGACAGTTGTGGTTGGTTTTCTTGGAAAATACTGGTTGTAGTTTTTAAAAGTGCAAAATATTTACTGTATTTAATCTGTTGTGGTTGGTTCTTCTGCTACTTTAATATCAATACCCCTTATTTGTGTCTTTCTGTAAGACATTATTTTTCTTTATACAGAGTATGGAATTTGAGAGGGTTGCAGTTGTGATTATCTTAGAACTCTTGGGTAAATCCCATAGGAAAATTTGTATTGGAATTCTTGCAAGTTTGGGAGAAACACTATGCCTTTGTGGTATTATAAAGACCAAAAAGTAAGAAGTTGATCCCGTAAGAAAATCTGTAATGAAATTCTTACAACTCAAGATAAAAATGCAGTTTACCTTTGTTTATTTAAGACATCTTGTAACATAGAGAAAATAAGATATTGATCTGAACATAATTGGTTACATTTATAATATACATTTGCACCCTACTTCTCTCTCTTTCGCTCTCTCGCTCTCTTTCTCTCATATTCTCAAATTAAGTCATTCTGACAGAATTGGAATGTGGAAATTGCATACATTATGCTTGGGATTGTGGATTTTGCTCTTCCTATATAGTTTTGCTGTATTTATTTTATGGGATTCCCAAATAATGGAAAACTTGTGGCCAACCAAATTATATGGTTTCTAGGACCCTGACTTCATCTAATGCCATCTTAGCTTTGGGGAGGAATGTGTGTGCAGAAATCTTTAAAAAAATACAGCACCTCAACCTAGCATGGTTGTTCAGAACCTTTGTTCTGAGAATACTTTTTTTAAGATTCTCATGCTTATGAAGTCTTGTAAGCTTATCATTATCATTTAAAAATAGCACAACTCAAAAGTAAGGATTTCCCTTTCCACATCTCAGTGTCACACTTGAAAGATAACTGAGACTAACCATCTGTCCGTCTGATGAATTGATGAATATATAAATATAAACTGAATGCTTTTTTGTTTTTTGAAACTATACCATTTATTAATGAAATGATTTAAGAAAATTCATTTTTTCATTTGGAAATCTATAATTTCTTTGCTAGTGAAGTTATATTTCTCATGGGTTACACATCTAGTAGCGTATACTTTACTAGAAGTGGAGCAGAAAGGCAATTTAATATGTGCATATTGAAGGGGAGGGGTTGATTAACAAATATAGAAGACAGTCTTAATGATTTGGGAAAGTATGCTTGTTGCTATATTTAAATTGCTACCATACATTGTACTACATTTTATCCATATGATTCTCTAAATTTTGATTGGAAATGAGTTTTAAATAACTGAAATAATCATTACTGCAAAAGCAGTAAACAGTTTCTTGATTTATACATTTGTTTTTTATTGTAATATTGTCTATTATTTTATGTTTATTAATTAAATTGTCCTTAATTAAGATGCATTCCAAATTTGTTTGAGCATACAACTCAAATATTATCAAAGTATATGTTCACTCTCCTTAAACTATAAATCTGTCGTTTAAACTATAAATTTTAGAAAAGGAATAGTAAAAAAAAAATGGATCAAATATATTATCATAGATGTTTTTATGCTAAAGTTGCCATTCTTTATAAACTACTTATTATTATAATACATTTGAAGCTTGATATAATATCTGAAATTTCCTTTTATATTCTGTGTAGATATCTGTAGGATTACATATCACATTATTACAAGAGTCCAATTTGTCAGTAAAAATGTACAACGTAAAATATCTGTTTTTTATTATTTTTTTCTATAAATTTAATAAATTGTCTATTTTTTGTATGAACATTGTTTGCATTGTTATTTGGGGAGGGGAATGTTTTATATCAATAATTAATATTAAAACATTGCATCTTTGCATCTATTGTGAATCCTTCCATTATTATGCACATTATTATTTCCCACTGAGTGAAACCTGAGTTGCCTCCAGAGTGCGATATCTCGGGATGCCCAGCTTTCTTTTTCACTCTTCCGCAGAGAAAGAGAAAGCCGGCAAAGCCCGTGAGCCAGTGCAGGCCTCCTCCAGAGGCTGCTTTGGAGTCAGGGTGAGAGAGAGAAAAACTGATGGTTGAAGTTCCAGCCACCCCCCCGCCCCCGCCCCCCCCCCCCCCGACCCCCCCTCCCGGGGTCCCCCCCCCCCCCCCCCCCCCCCCCCCCCCCGATTCTCTTGACATTCAGGCTACCTCACAGGTCCAACATTCAGGCCCTAACCCTAATCCTTTAGGTATATCGGGTTTTTAGACTTAAAATGGTCATTCGGGCAGAGAACCGGTTATTAAATTATTTGAATCCCACCGCTGCCTTGGGCTAATTCCTTAGAGAATCATGTGATCTTGAAAAGTAGTGGTTTTTCTGCTTTTTCAGGCCAGGGAGAACTTGAATACACATCTGGTGTTTTTTTTTTTGTCAAATTGAAGCCTTGTTTCAAAATTGGTGTTTCCTGGCTAAAAATGGAATTTGGCACTAAGCTATAATAGGCCTCCTTCCAATTACATGATATACCTTGGATCAACTGCTCATAGAAAGAGCAAGATTTTAAATAGAAGTGATTTTTCTGCTTCTCCAGGCCAAGGAGAACATGAAAACATGTTCGTTTCAAATTCGGGCTAAATGGGAATTTGGCACTAGCTATAATAGGCCTCTTATCAATTACAAGATATGCCTTGCATCAACTTCTCAGAGAAAGAGCAGATTTTGAAACGAAGTGGTTTTTCTGCTTCTCTATACCAGGGAGAGGATAAACACATGTGTTTTTGAAGTTTGACCTCTCTTTCAAAATTGAAGTTTTCTGGTTGAATGGGAATTCTCCTAGCAATTACAAGATGTGCCTTGGACCAATTCCTCAGACAAAGAGTAGGTTTTGAAAACAACTGGTTTTCCTGCTTCTCTAGGTCAGGGAGAACATAAACAGGCGTCTCTTTTTCAAATTTGAGCTGTGTCTGAAAATTGAAGTGTGGCTAAATGGGAATTCAGTACTAACTATAATTTGCCTCTCAGCAATTCCTCAAAAAAAGAGGATTTTGAAAACAACTGGTTTTCCTGCTTCTCTAGGGAGGGAGAACTTGAATACATGTTTGTTTTTTAAATTTTGGTTTTCTGGCTAAATTCAGTATTAGTTATAATGTATGAATGGGAATTTGACATTTGCCATAATAGGCTTCCTATCAATTACAGTATATGCCTTGGACTAATTCCTATGAGAAATCTGGAAAAGGTTTTCCTGCTTCTCCAGGGATGAGAGAACACAAATATGTGTCTGTTTTTCAAATTCAGGCTTTGTCTTAAAATTGACTTTTCTAGCTGAATGGGATTCCAGCATTCATTATAATAGATCTCCTACCAATTACAAGGTATGTCATATTACCACTTCGGAGAAATAAAAGATCTTGAAAACAGGAAAATGAATATGGGTCTGTTTTTCAAACTGGAGCGTTATCTCAAAATTAAGTTTTCAGGCTGAATAGGAATTCTTTAACCAATTGCAAGATATGCTAAGTAAGTCCACAAAACCAGGCCCCCACATTTTGGCAATAAAGAGATACAAAAAACTTTCCTGGTTGCTGTCTAGCATTTGTATGGCTTTCTTCACCCCAGATCTGAGAACACATTCTTCTCCCAAAGTCCATGTCTGCCAATCAACAGAGCCAAGTTAATCTAGAATAAATATAGGGCTACTCCTGTAAATATAGGAACACCAGTTTGATATTTGTCTATAATACCCAAACATTTATACCCACATATAAGCCTGGACTGTCATCTATTTATTAGCCTAGAGCAGGGGTAAGCAACCTTAAGCACTCAAAGAGCCATTTGGACCCATTTCCCACAGAAAACACCAGAAGCCACAAAATGTGGGTGGGCGTGGCCAACTTGACGTCACTCATTCCCACCCAGTGACATGACACCCCCCAGCCAAGCCTACCCAGCCTCTCTCTCTCTCCTTTCCACTAATTGAGCCCCTCTAGAGAAATTAAGATTTCAACTACAGTTCTCAGGTACGTTCAAAGACCTGTTATATCAAAGGAAAGGAAAGTGTGCTAGAAGAACAAATGGGGGTGGGGAAGAGAAACCAGGACATGAAATGCTTGATGGGTACAGAAATAAGACTGGCTCCAGGGGCATCGTCTGCAGGATCCCCTTCAATTCTGGCAGTGCCCCGGGATACCTCGCTAAATTTACAAGAGGACAGCAGAGAAATATATTTATCTGAAATTTAAATCATAGGGCACATAACAATAAACTGTGTCAGGGAGAATGCACACCTCTGTTATGACTTATCACCACTTAGTTTCCACATGAGGAATTTCAATAACTTTCACAGCTTGACTTCTCCCTGGTGGCACTGGATTTCTTTAACAATACAACTCAGGAATGATGGGAGTGTATTACGATAGCCTCTGGAGGCCATCACATCCTTATTCTTCCTTCCTTCTTTTTCCCTCCTCCCCTCCCCCTTCTCTGATTTCACCTTTTTTGTTTCCTTCCTCCCTCCCTCCTGATTTAATCTTCCTTCCTTCCTCCTCTTCTGATTTCACCTTCCTTCCTTCCTCCCCGCCCCCCATTTCACCTTCCTGCCATTAATCCTGTATATTATGGTTCGTTGTTATTAGTATTTATTAAAGAATGCTGTGTCGCTTAGAAGCTCTCAGCAAAAATAACAGGAGCTGTTTGTGGCTGAAGCTATCCTGGGCTGTTATTTACACACACACACACACACACACACACACACACACACACACACGCTTCTACTCCACTCTCAATGAGGGTGCTTCTACTTGGCCAGCCCCCTCCTGGTAGGCTTTTGTGCTCGGCACTCAGCTGGGAGAGGGAATCACTTCCACACGCCACCCCCTTCTTTCTCTTGGCCCTGCCGATGATGGAGGAGGAAGGCCAGGCTTGGGGGATGGCCCCCACCCTGCAAGATCCACTCCCACTGTTCTCTCCCAGTCCTCTTTGCTGGCAGAAATAGTAATTGTACCACGACGAAGACAGAATCCTGTTGCCACGCAAAGGCAAGTACAGGGGTGCTTTGATCCCATGCTAAGGCTCCGGCCATCACCACCGCCACGACAGGGAGATAGCTCTTTCATCCCTCTGCCGTGACAGGGAGCTGCAGCAGAGAGAGAAAAGAGCCGCACGTGGTTCCAGAGCTGCAGGTTGCCAACACCTGGCCTAGAGTATTCTACATCACTGTGTATGAGATGTTTCTCTTAAGTCCATATAGATACTAAATATTCTTTGGCTTATCTTCAATCTTAGTGTAAAAGAAGCCCTTGCTGAACCCAAGTCAGATTCTGTTCCTATAGCACTTCTAGTTCTCACTCAATTTTTAATACGACACAATATGCAAAGTTGTTCATTAATATCACAAACATATTTATCTCATGTGAATCACCTTTGACTAGAACAAATGTTTCATTGCATGATTTTTCACAGATTACAATACGATTCAGTGCATGCATGGAAGAGTTTTTTCTTACTGAAATAATGGATTAAAAAGCCTGAAAGATAGCAGTGTCAGATGATGATCAATAACAAGAGAGTAAGTAGTTGGATGTAATTGATTTTTTTCACACAGTTCAGCTGATTACCGCGTTTCCCTGAAAATACGATCTATCCTGAAAACAAGCCTAGCCCGATTTCGACACCTGCGCCTAATATAAGCCGCACACCCAAAATAAGCCCTAGTTAAGCCCCATCCACCATCTGCTTGTATGAGGTGTGGTGAGATGCAAGTGTAAAAGTCCAGCTAGGGCAGGAGTGGGGGGTGAAGCTGCCCCACCTGCCCCTCAATCACTTACCTTAGGACCATCACAATGAGGCCTCCATGCTCCAACACCTGTTATGCCACTACCCAATTTCTTCTGCAACTGTTCAAGGCAGAACAATGCAAAGCTCATCACGCCAGTGCCGTCGCTTATATGCAGTGGTGCAATACATCACACAACCTCCTGTCACAAGTGGAGATACTGGCATGACAAGCCATGTGACATCCTGCCACAAGCAACAGCACCGGTGAGCAGCCACAGAATTTGGCCAGCAGTGCAACAGGTGTCGGGGCATGGAAAGTGTGGCTGTGGTGGTCCTAAGGTAAGTGGGTAAGACATCCCCAGAAAATAAGATCTAGTGCTTATTTTGTGGCCAAAAAGAAAATAAAAGTGGGTCTTATTTTCAGGGAAACATGGTACAAAGTAAGATTGTTTCAAGCCCCAGCCTGGGGCTTGCCATACCTGGGGGGAAGTGCAGACATGGCGGTTCACCGGTGGCAGCTCCACGTCCAATGGCGCTAGATGGTCAGGGCATCTGCTGCCAATTGCATGCAGTGGAGGTGCCATACAGCAGGGGTGATGAGAGGCACAGTGGCCCCAGTGTTGGACAGACTGCATCGCAGATGTTCCACAATAAAGCCTGCGACACCCAGCTGACAGGTGGTCTTCCATGCAATGCCCAGCTGACTGGCAGTCCTCCATAGCGGCTTGCTTTGGGTGATTCTTGCTGCAACCAGATGGTGGGGTGTGGTAGCATGATGGACAGGGGTGGGGCCCAAACACTTGAAAAGGTGCTGGGAGGCAGACGCGCCCAGCACTGACTTTGCAAGGTTTCCCTACTTGTCACATTCTGAGGCTCATCCTGTTTATGAATGAAGCTGGAATTAAGGTGAGGGTGCTTGTCCTGGCTGAGGGTGCTTGTCCTGGCTCCCTTTCTTTTGCTATCAGGTCTGGCCCAGTGCGGCTGAGAGATTGTTGCCTCCATGATGAATAGCAATTAATTCTATTGCTGAAA